TCATTTTCTTGCAGGACTTTCCCCTGATAGGTGATTTTCATTTCATTCAACTTTCCCTTTTTGAGGTCAAAAGTCAGAGCAACGTTTTCTGTCCCTAAGTGGATCATAAAGAACCTCAGTGTGTTAATGCCAGTGGACAGTTTGTTAAATTAATAAAATAATGATGACTTTTATGTCTTAAAGCTTTTACGACTCGTTATGTCTGACTTTTTTGGCATCAATATTTGGAAAAATTTGCCTTAAGCAACACAAAATGTTTCCTGTGTTCTGAACCGTTTTTAGCAGCTATGCTAATATGGTAAAGATGGCAGCCGGCTCATTCGCTAAGCGACTATAATTGGATGTTATTTTATTGGTGTTGATGTTCTAGCATGCTGTCTGACCACTGATCTCTATTGTTGCCGTTTTCTTTGACCTTTTCTGCATTCAGTTGGGATAAAATCTTATTGGTGCAGGATGGTGGTCATGCGCTGATACAGTTTGATAAAGTTATTCATCACAGCGGCTGCCATCATAAGGTGTTGTCATCCTCCACTGTCTGAATTAGGAGAGCATCCAGGCGTTCAGTAAGAGTGGCCCGAGCATGGAGCCTTGAGGGACTCTTCATTAAAGTCTAATTTAAAATGTAAAGCAAACACATCTGCCGAAACATATCTGAACAAGTTTGGGAAAGTTTCTTTCGTCAACCCCAGCAAAAACAAAACTATTTCTAAAGTAATAATAGCAAAGAAGCAACATTCAGCTCATTTGTTGACTAATTAGAATCAGGAAAAGATTGAATTATTTTTAAATGTTACACTTAACTCTAAAAGTAATTACTAAATGCATATTTTGTTTCTCATCTGTAATTATCTAAATATATCCTAAAGAATGTAATTTCAAAAGAGATCATTAAATCTTAAAACAAGAAAAAACAGCTCAGCATTCTGGGTGTAGTGACACCAGAAGTCCACCAGGGGTCTCACCTGCGCTCCATATTTAACTTGCAGGACATCAACACAGCGCACAAAATGCAAATTTAACAATAAATACTATAAACTAACGTGGTTGGTCTATCAGTTCACAACGTGGTTGCTATTGCAACTGCTGGGAAATACACGTGCAGCTACAATGATTCAACAACTAAAAGTTAGGTTTGCAGAAAACAACTTGACAAAAAATCTACCAAAAAGAAAGAAAACAGCATATATAGTTCAATAAAATGAACTGAACATCATTTTTACCAAAGTATTGAAGAAGAAACCGGCGTGTTGATGGTCGTCCGTCCTGAAGCTTCCTGAAGATCTGCTGGGATTGAAATAAACACTTTCAGATTCAGTCAGAATTATCAATCAGATCTGATTACAACCAAAACATGTTCTGCTTGCTACTGAAACACACAAACTAGTTTATATGTTTTGTTGATATATTTGGTAGTTAAAACTAACGTGGTGAATTATTGTAGGTGAAACTGTGAACCTGATGATCAGAGGATGGTTTCAGGAAAAGGCCTGATGTGTTTTTTTTGAACATGTTCTCCAAGTACATAAATATATTGAAATATCAGCAGAACTATGTGCAGGGCCAACACACCAGCTGCATTTCCATTTCTAGCCCATCCGTTCAGTTAATGTCAAAAAACCCAACAGTTTCCATTAATTAAGGAATTGAATCCAAATCACACATGAATAAGCTTGCTCAAGCAAAAAGGCATTAAATCAGGGATGTAAACAGTTACATGAATATAATTAAGCATCTACCACTCATTATCTATCAGCCAATCAGAGGAGACGTTGACCACAAGCCCCACCAACTTGGGATTGACTGTGCAGGGAAGTGTAGTCGGCCATTTATAGAAAAGTTATAGATTATAGTTATGGTGGAGCCAGCTACATAAGAGACAAAACATCATCCTGCTTCCGATTCCTGTCGTCTTCTTCTGCGTTTCCACCAGTAGTAACATCCAGATAGTAATCATGTGGCTCATAAATCCATTTCCATACATCTGAAAAATCCTCACACAAAACTTTTCATCAAAAACCTTGAGTTTCTATTTTAAATTGGCGTCTTTTCATTAAGCAGATTTATTTTTGTAATTTCAATTTGGATAATTTTAAGGTTCATATAAACGCAGCCAGTGAGACGGTGGTGAGGTGTACGGCAGGAATGATTACATCAGAATTCAACTTTAACCTGGAGGCAAAGCTTCAGGAGTGATAAAAGGCTGACTGATGACCTCAGATCATAGTTTGACCTTTAGTGTGAGGAAGAGAAGCTAAAGAAATGAAAATGTAATAAATATTTAGACAGAATAAATCTGTGTTGATGAGAGGAAAACTTATGATGTGAAAATGAGTTCTGTTGTGAAAAGTTCAGCTCAGCTCTCTGCAGGCGTGTTTAAAGATGCCTTTGAAACTGTTTTCAAAAACAATTTCCAGACTTGTTATGTTAGCAATTAAAGAGAGAACAGTGATTATGGCTGATAATAGAGTCACGTGTGTTTGCAGCACGTGATGGGCTTGAAGTTCAGCACATTTAGGGAGCGGCTGAGAGTTGAGACGCTCAACGCAACCTTAAGGCCTCAGACATCACGTCTCTGACTCGCTGCAGCTCAAGGCTGCAAATACTTTGGTACTTTGGCAAAGGCAGCAGCCGGGCTTCACAAAAACACTCACAACATCTTACAGACAAAACATGTTGAATGAAAATGAAATGATTTAACTGAATGTTTAATAAGTTATTTCATTTCATTATCTTTATTTATACAGCAACAACATTTTTGCCACAATGCGCTTTCCAACCAAATGCTTGTTTTATTGATATAGATGATCCGTTGGCTTCGCCTCGTGTCCGGATAGCTCAGGCCAATCAGGTTCAGTTTAGGAATAAAACACAGCTGTCGGGTTTATGTCAGTTGGTAAAAACTTTTCTGAACCCTGACATTATTTTTGTTCAAAATTCAGTTTTAGTGTCAGCACAGTAACTCATATTGATGTAACTGGCAGGATTTTTACATAAACAGCATTTTCAGCTGTGTACGTTTATGTTTCAAATCTATAAACATTCATTTCAGCTTTTTTGACATTTATAACTTTTTCATTCGTAAATAACGTTTTGTTAAACATTTCAGTAGTTCAGTTTCTAAAGAACAAAATTATTTTTGTTTTTATTTTCCCCAATTTTATTGAAATGAATTAGTAATAATTCTAGAGAAATATCTTTATTTCAATATGCTGCAAGTTGGAGTTCAGTTCTGATTTGTCCTGTAATGTTAATAGTTTCTCACTTAGAGACAGAATATCTGCTTCTTTGAATGAAATGGAATAAAAATCATAATTAGTCTGAGGCAGCAGAAGACAGAGTCTTATTTCCCTTCATACTGTAAGTCCTTGAAGTTTAGTGTGAAAACTGGTATTTATTAAAATGATTACAGCGTTGTTTTTCATTACCTTTGACCCCTACCTGTGCTCTAATCGCTTATCGACACTGATCAGCTCAGCCTTTTACCTGTGACCTGCAGGAAAACACAGCGGGAGAAGCGGGAGCTTACTTCCGGGTTCGGCCTCTGTCCGCTGACCAGGGAGCAGCCAATCAGAAGCGTCCTCCAGAAGTAATAAAGTGCGGCTGAGTTCGTATCAGCTGGCTGCAGGAGAAGCAGAGAGGAAAAACATGGAGGCCGAGAGCCGCGGTGAGTTTCTGTCCGACATCATAAGATCCGCCTGAAAGGATTTAATAAAAGCTCCGCGGCGTTTATTGGTTCTTTATGCATTTCTCTGATTCTGTTCTCATAGAAACAGAATCAAACATGCTTCTGTTTTCTGTAACATGAAAAATACATTTAAAAATCTTCCACTCCCGATAAAAATACATTTGATTTGGTTTAATAGGCTTAATCCAATTTGTTTGACATTTGAATTTCCTGGTGTATTAATTTTTCCATCAGGAATGAAGCCTGGAAAGGAAATGCGTCACAGTTATGACTGTTTTTGTATTCCTTATGTTGAAAATAAACATTCATTTTTGATTATTTTGTAGTGATGAAACAAAACTGTTGCGGTGGTTTGTTTTTCAGTGGCAGTTTTACATAATAATTTAATGCATTTGTTGTTAAAAATAATCATTAGCTGCTTTTGCTCCATTTTTAATCTGCAGTAATGGAAAATGTAAAGATGGATTATATTAGGATAATGTGTAATCCTGCGCTGTGATTTCTCCAGACAGCACTTAGATGATTATTGTACTTTGAACAGATTGAAAAAGATATTTGAGGACATTAAAATAATAAAATGACAGCGCAGCAACAAGTCACAGCTTGTGTGAAAATACCAGGTAGTGTTTGGCTGTAGCAACTACTGCAAATGTATTTTTATTCTCCTAAATGACAACAGGAGAATGGCAATAAAACCATCAACTAAAACATGTTTTTGGTCATGTTAAGTTCAAACTCTAAGAATAATCCTTCAGTCTTCTGCTGTCAGCCATGTTGCTGCTGCTGGTCAGCAACATGGCTGCATGTTGCTGTGACCCGTCCCATGAGGGTCCCTCTCATGTTACCCTCATGCTACGGTAACCCTCATGTCTCATGAGACACGGACCCTGTCCTCTGCACTCATGCTGTTGTGAAACTGACCCGGTTTGACCCAGTGTGTCTGTTTGTCTGCAGAGACGGGGAGAGCTGAGAAGAGCTCAGCAGGCAGCGGCCGACAGGTGAGAGCGCATCTGAGTAAAACCACAAGTTTAACACACAGAGTTCATTTAAAACACAACAACTATTATTATTAATACTGCTGCTGATCAAATGCTCCATCATTATTTCAGTCTAATGTCATTTATTTTAGTGTTGTGTGTAATCGGTGTGATTTGTGAGGAATAAAGACGACTCACTGCTTTGTGCTCAGATCTGATTTTAATATTTTTGACTGTTGCATGAATTGTGTGAAATAAATCTCGGTTTCTGTCTGTCAGAAAACAATCTTCAGTTATGTAACAAGTTAAGAAGCAGATTGTCAGTTTCACAAAAGGATGAATCATTAATCTGACCTCTTATTTTGTTTCTTCTCCTTTTGTCTTTGGGTGGAGTTTGTGTTGTTTTAATAAAACCAGTACCAGCTGAAATATTTAAGGTTCATCAATTATGTTTGTTTTGTTTCTGTAGCTTTAAAAGTTCAGTTTGTGACACTTATTTATTTCTGCTTTGTCAGAATTTATTAATAATCTTTATAAGAATTACTATATTGAAAAAGTTCATTTTCAACTAAATTGGAGGTAAATTATCAATGATATTAATGACAATATTTATGTTGTCACTATTCACCAAAGTTATTATAGTTATTAAAACTAATCAAATAAGGAAAACTGAAACAGAGAAAAGCTTATTTATTAACTAAATAAATAAAAATGTGATTGTTAATGGGGAAAAACTGGAACTATTGTCATGCATTTCTAAAACATACTGAAATTACAGAAATATTGTCCTTTGTTTTGTGTTTATGAATCTATATGGATGTTTCAAGCTGATGAATTGAAATTGGTTTTTATTCCATCACACAAGCGGTTTGTCAGCTGTCAGTAAATTACATTCACTAGTCACTAAAGTTGTTAGAAAACCCCAGAGTTCAACAATAATTAAATATATTTTTATTCAAATAGTTTCTTCTGTTGAGTATTCAAATCTCAGTCAATGTTTGCATCATCACAATACTTTACACAAAACTATCACAACAGTTTAAGGTTTAATTTGGTGAAAACGAAACCAGAACTTTCTGTTCCAACCGAGAGGAAACCCAGAAACCCCCGAGGCGTCGCGTGCGGCGCTGGTCCCGCGGTGGCCATGGTTCCCTGAGGAATGCGACTGGGATTTAATGGCTGCTGCCTGGACGCCTCCTGTCTCCCACTGCGGAGAAGGAGGATGTCGTTTTGTCTTTGAACGCATCGCTGGACCAACTGGTGGCAGCTGCTTCTTTTACAGTTTATCACCATTATGCACTGAAAAAACACAAAGTCTGACTAAGTAGGTTTGGTCTGCCTCACTTGAAATAAAACAAACTGTCACTTTTCAGCAAGATACAGGAGCTTTTTAAAGTTAAGAATTCATTAATATTGATGAAAAACCTATGGATGGCTGATTATTTCACTTTGAAACAGAAAACTATCTTCCTATGAATGAAATAATCTGTCAGTGGAACTGAAACTCGTGGATCAAGATTAAGGAATTATGAACTAAAGTTAAGCTCTTGCTGTTATTTGCAAGTTGTGTTTTATTCCCAGTGAACTAAGATATGTTTGCTCTGGAATCTAGAGCAGAATTGCTGGTTGATTATGTCGTGTTTTGCTCTGACGCTCCTCTGTTGTTCACGGCGCTGGGTTGTTTTCCAGGAATCAGCAGGAGGCCTGTGGGATTCTGTGAAGAAAGCTGCTTTTGTCATCGGATCTGGAATTCTGTTCCTGGCTGCTTTGGAAACTCGCTGACATGGTATGACCATCACAGCACCAAGCTAACAACTAACCAGGCTAACTACAACCATCACAGCACCAAGCTAACAGCTAACCAGGCTAACTACAACCATCACAGCACCAAGCTAACAGCTAACCAGGCTAACTACAACCATCACAGCACCAAGCTAACAGCTAACAGCTAACCAGGCTAACTACAACCATCACAGCACCAAGCTAACAACTAACCAGGCTAACTACAACCATCACAGCACCAAGCTAACAGCTAACCAGGCTAACTACAACCATCACAGCACCAAGCTAACAGCTAACCAGGCTAACTACAACCATCACAGCACCAAGCTAACAGCTAACAGCTAACCAGGCTAACTACAACCATCACAGCACCAAGCTAACAGCTAACCAGGCTAACTACAACATCACAGCACCAAGCTAACAACTAACCAGGCTAACTACAACCATCACAGCACCAAGCTAACAGCTAACCAGGCTAACACAACCACACAGCACCAAGCTAACAGCTAACCAGGCAACTACAACCATCACAGCACCAAGCTAACACTAACCAGGCTAACTACAACCATCACAGCACCAAGCTAACAACTAACCAGGCTAACTACAACCATCACAGCACCAAGCTAACAGCTAACCAGGCTAACTACAACCATCACAGCACCAAGCTAACACTAACCAGGCTAACTACAACCATCACAGCACCACCTAACAGCTAACAGCTAACCAGGCTAACTACACCATCACAGCACCAAGCTAACAGCTAACCAGGCTAACTACAACATCACAGCACCAAGCTAACAACTAACCAGGCTAACTACAAACCATCACAGCACCAAGCTAACAGCTAACCAGGCTAACTACAACCATCACAGCACCAAGCTAACAGCTAACCAGGCTAACTACAACCATCACAGCACCAAGCTAACAACTAACCAGCCAAACTACAACCATCACAGCACCAAGCTAACAACTAACCAGGCTAACTACAACCATCACAGCACCAAGCTAACAGCTAACCAGGCTAACTACAACCATCACAGCACCAAGCTAACAGCTAACCAGGCTAACTACAACCATCACAGCACCAAGCTAACAGCTAACAGCTAACCAGGCTAACTACAACCATCACAGCACCAAGCTAACAGCTAACCAGGCTAACTACAACATCACAGCACCAAGCTAACAGCTAACCAGGCTAACTACACCATCACAGCACCAAGCTAACAGCTAACCAGGCTAACTACACCATCACAGCACCAAGCTAACAACTTACCAGGCTAACTACAACCATCACAGCACCAAGCTAACAGCTAACCAGGCTAACTACAACCATCACAGCACCAAGCTAACAGCTAACCAGGCCAACTAACCATCACAGCACTGAGCTAACAGCTAACCAGGCTAACTATAACCATCACAGCACTGAGCTAACAGCTAACCAGGCTAACTACAAGTATCACAGCACCCAGCTAATGGCTAATCAGGCTAAGTAATGCCAATCCCAACACAGAGCTAACAGCTAACCAGGCTAACTACAAACCATCACAGCACAAAGCTAACGGCTAACCAGGCTAACTGAGTGGTAAAATAGTGAACAGAGGAGACAAAGGCTGGGAACGAATCATGACAGAAACAAAACGGCTGGGCAGGTTGGAACTGGAAAGACCAGAATCCTTAGTCTGGAAACTCTGGGTTGGTCTAGTCAAAGCAAGCCTGCTGCATGATCACATAAACATTATAGGAAAAGGTGTAGAGTTTGCTGGTAGAAATCTGCGTAGTAACTAGTTACAGTTACTCTGGAAGGTTTGAGTAACTTTACTTTTAGGAGTATTGTTACTACGCTGTACTTTTTATTTTAGTCATTTTATTATGAAGTATCTCTACTTTAACTTCCACTTTGTAATTATTATAAATATAATCGTAATTATAAATTCATAGGGACAGGAGATGGAAATGTATGTAAATAATGAGTATTAATGTTTACGATAATAAAAATGTAGATAAACGATTAGAGCAGGGAGGGTAGAGAATACATGTTTGATTTTCATTCAGTGGGAAAATGCAGAAATTTGACAGTAAAATACTTTGTATTAAACGTTTGTTGAGTAAATGTAACTAGTTGCTACCCAACCGTGGATCATTCTAATACTGCATAGATTATAATTATTATGATATAATAAAATGTACTGGTTCTGTTTGGACCAGAGATCACGTTATTGGAATATGGTCCATATGTCAAGTGCATAATTCAGAGACTGATGTCCAGACAAAAGTCAGGAAGCAAAAACATCTTTAATACGTCTGCAGACAGAGAGCAAACATTAAAAATCAAAATCTGCTCTAATGAACTCAGAGTTGCATAGTTTGCTTCATTCACCTCTCTGCTAACAGACTCAACCTGCTAACAGACTCAACCTGCTGCTAACAGACTCAACCTGCTAACAGACTCAACCTGCTAACAGAGACTCAACCTGCTGCTAACAGACTCAACCTGCTAACAGACTCAACCTGCTGCTAACAGACTCAACCTGCTGCTAACAGACTCAACCTGCTAACAGACTCACCTGCTGCTAACAGACTCAACCTGCTAACAGAGACTCAACCTGCTGCTAACAGAACTCAACCTGCTAACAGAGACTCAACCTGCTAACAGAGACTCAACCTGCTAACAGAGAACAGACTCAACTAACAGAGACTCAACTCTGCTAACAGACCCTGCTGCTAACAGAGACTCAACCTGCTGCTAACAGACTCAACCTGCTGCTAACAGACTCAACCTGCTGCTAACAGACTCAACCTGCTAACAGACTCAACCTGCTAACAGAGACTCAACCTGCTAACAGAGACTCAACCTGCTGCTAACAGACTCAACCTGCTGCTAACAGACTCAACCTGCTAACAGAGACTCAACCTGCTGCTAACAGACTCAACCTGCTAACAGAGACTCAACCTGCTGCTAACAGACTCAACCTGCTGCTAACAGACTCAACCTGCTAACAGAGACTCAACCTGCTGCTAACAGACTCAACCTGCTAACAGACTCAACCTGCTGCTAACAGAGACTCAACCTGCTGCTAACAGAGACTCAACCTGCTGCTAACAGACTCAACCTGCTGCTAACAGACTCAACCTGCTAACAGAGACTCAACCTGCTGCTAACAGACTCAACCTGCTAACAGACTCAACATGCTGCTAACAGAGACTCAACCTGCTGCTAACAGAGACTCAACCTGCTGCTAACAGACTCAACCTGCTAACAGAGACTCAACCTGCTGCTAACAGACTCAACCTGCTAACAGACTCAACCTGCTGCTAACAGAGACTCAACTTGCTAACAGACTCAACCTGCTGCTAACAGAGACTCAACTTGCTAACAGACTCAACCTGCTGCTAACAGACTCAACCTGCTAACAGACTCAACCTGCTGCTAACAGACTCAACCTGCTGCTAACAGACTCAACCTGCTAACAGAGACTCAACCTGCTGCTAACAGACTCAACCTGCTAACAGACTCAACCTGCTGCTAACAGAGACTCAACCTGCTGCTAACAGAGACTCAACCTGCTGCTAACAGACTCAACCTGCTGCTAACAGACTCAACCTGCTAACAGAGACTCAACCTGCTAACAGAGACTCAACCTGCTGCTAACAGACTCAACCTGCTAACAGACTCAACCTGCTGCTAACAGAGACTCAACCTGCTGCTAACAGACTCAACCTGCTGCTAACAGAGACTCAACCTGCTGCTAACAGAGACTCAACCTGCTGCTAACAGACTCAACCTGCTAACAGAGACTCAACCTGCTGCTAACAGACTCAACCTGCTGCTAACAGAGACTCAACTTGCTAACAGACTCAACCTGCTGCTAACAGACTCAACCTGCTAACAGACTCAACCTGCTGCTAACAGAGACTCAACCTGCTAACAGACTCAACCTGTTGCTAACAGACTCAACCTGCTAACAGAGACTCAACCTGCTGCTAACAGACTCAACCTGCTAACAGACTCAACCTGCTGCTAACAGAGACTCAACCTGCTGCTAACAGAGACTCAACCTGCTGCTAACAGACTCAACCTGCTAACAGAGACTCAACCTGCTGCTAACAGACTCAACCTGCTAACAGAGACTCAACCTGCTGCTAACAGACTCAACCTGCTAACAGACTCAACCTGCTGCTAACAGACTCAACCTGCTAACAGACTCAACCTGCTGCTAACAGACTCAACCTGCTGCTAACAGACTCAACCTGCTAACAGACTCAACCTGCTAACAGAGACTCAACCTGCTGCTAACAGAGACTCAACCTGCTGCTAACAGAGACAACCTGCTGCTAACAGACTCAACCTGCTAACAGAGACTCAACCTGCTGCTAACAGACTCAACCTGCTAACAGACTCAACCTGCTGCTAACAGAGACTCAACCTGCTGCTAACAGACTCAACTGCTAACAGACTCAACCTGCTGCTAACAGACTCAACCTGCTAACAGACTCAACCTGCTGCTAACAGAGACTCAACTTGCTAACAGACTCAACCTGCTGCTAACAGAGACTCAACTTGCTAACAGACTCAACCTGTTGCTAACAGACTCAACCTGCTAACAGACTCCCTGCTGCTAACAGACTCAACCTGCTGCTAACAGACTCAACCTGCTAACAGAGACTCAACCTGCTGCTAACAGACTCAACCTGCTGCTAACAGAGACTCAACCTGCTGCTAACAGAGACTCAACCTGCTGCTAACAGAGACTCAACCTGCTGCTAACAGACTCAACCTGCTGCTAACAGACTCAACCTGCTAACAGAGACTCAACCTGCTGCTAACAGAGACTCAACCTGCTGCTAACAGACTCAACCTGCTAACAGAGACTCAACCTGCTGCTAACAGACTCAACCTGCTAACAGACTCAACCTGCTGCTAACAGACTCAACCTGCTAACAGACTCAACCTGCTGCTAACAGAGACTCAACCTGCTAACAGACTCAACCTGCTGCTAACAGACTCAATCTGCTAACAGAGACTCAACTTGCTAACAGACTCAACCTGCTGCTAACAGACTCAACCTGCTAACAGACTCAACCTGCTGCTAACAGAGACTCAACCTGCTAACAGACTCAACCTGCTGCTAACAGACTCAACCTGCTAACAGAGACTCAACCTGCTGCTAACAGACTCAACCTGCTAACAGACTCAACCTGCTGCTAACAGAGACTCAACCTGCTGCTAACAGAGACTCAACCTGCTGCTAACAGACTCAACCTGCTGCTAACAGACTCAACCTGCTAACAGACTCAACCTGCTGCTAACAGAGACTCAACCTGCTAACAGACTCAACCTGCTGCTAACAGACTCAACCTGCTAACAGAGACTCAACCTGCTGCTAACAGACTCAACCTGCTAACACTCAACCTGCTGCTAACAGAGACTCAACCTGCTGCTAACAGAGACTCAACCTGCTGCTAACAGACTCAACCTGCTAACAGAGACTCAACCTGCTGCTAACAGACTCAACCTGCTAACAGACTCAACCTGCTGCTAACAGAGACTCAACTTGCTAACAGACTCAACCTGCTGCTAACAGAGACTCAACCTGCTGCTAACAGACTCAACCTGCTAACAGACTCAACCTGCTGCTAACAGACTCAACCTGCTAACAGACTCAACCTGCTAACAGAGACTCAACCTGCTGCTAACAGACTCAACCTGCTAACAGACTCAACCTGCTGCTAACAGACTCAACCTGCTAACAGACTCAACCTGCTGCTAACAGACTCAACCTGCTGCTAACAGACTCAACCTGCTAACAGACTCAACCTGCTGCTAACAGAGACTCAACCTGCTAAGACCAAACAGACCAAACAAAGGAAAACAGAGGGAACAGTTCAACCTCATTCACTATCATGTCTACACACTCTATCTGCATGCAGGGAAAAACAGCAAGTTCCCAAATAACCCGACTGGGGAACTTCAACAGACATCTTGTTCACTTAGTTTGTTCACCTTCTGCAGCTGCACCAAAAAACATCTTGACTATGATACTGTATGATGGAAATAATAGATTTTCTCTTTAAAGAAAAATCTACTTCACACTTATTTTGAGCGTTTTTCAAACGCCGGGGACAGTTGAAGCCTGTTGGTTATAATTCCAGCCCTGATTGGTCCTTTAGACTTTACAGAGATTTAATCGCAGAGGGAATGAAATCAATCAACGAGAATCTTTGAATATCATCTCATAGACTGTGAACTAAATGCGTCTTTCTGAGCGGAGCCGGCGGCGCGGTCGAAGGTTACGGACCGAACGCCTTGAGCTTTAAACCTTCAACTCCAGACCAGAGAAACTAAAGAGATGCAACGTTGTATTGAATATTGATCCGTTTCGTCTGGACAGAGGAGCCGGACGTTTGTCTGCAGGAAATCAATTACGGTGCAGAAGTCGATCGGAGCAAACATGCTGCAGATTCTGTCTCCATCTTCCTGGCTGCTTTAGTTTGACTTCCTGTTTTCATCAGGAGTCCAGCAGCTGCCGATCAGTTTGATCAATTTGATTAGTTTGATCAGTTTGATCAATTTGTGTCACTATGGAGAAAGTGGAATCTGGATTCAGGTTCAACCAGGTGAATATGAAAGTTAATATGATTATAATTTGACAGGTATAAACAGAATATTTTTCAGTCTGTCCCAGAGAAGTGTAGCGCCCCCTCTGGTTTGCACCAGAAGTTTTCACTATAAAAACTGAAATGAAGGATAATTATTGTATGAATCTGTTTAGTAGTTTTGGTTCTGTGGATCATTTTTATTTAAATCAACAAAAATGATTTCATTATAATCAGCATCACTAATAAACAGGTTTTATATTTTTATAACAAATATAAATAATTTTTTCCTCAGTTAATAGAATGTCTTTTTCACACCCAGATTGAAACAATATTTAAATAACAGATATTAAATATTAAACATTGTTTTTGTGCATTTTATGAATCAATGTTTTCTACTGCAGGTATTTTCGTTATTATGAATATTGTGATGCTTCAACTGGTTAGCCAATGTAAATCAGGTTTTTATTGTCTTTTCAACTACAAAACCAAAAAAAAGAAGCAGCCTGACCTCTGACCTCTGACCTCTGGCTCCAGGCATCTTCAGAGATTCTGGGGAGCTCAGGAGATTTCTGGCAGAAGTTGTGGACGAAGGTTTACCTGCAGTTTGAGGGTCACGATGCTGCGTTGTTCTTCTTCGGTAGGAAAATTATTCCAGTTCTTGTTCCCTTTCAGGTCAAAGGTCACCGATCTGAGGCTGAATTGAATATTTGTACCGTCAGTTTGTGAAACCTTTTGGTTGGAGAAGCTCCATAGTTTTGCGTCCGTCAGATTTATGACAGAAACCAAACGTAATTTAATCCCAGGATCTGTAAATGAGGATTAGATTAGTGCGGTTCAACCGAAGAGAAGGCTAAAGGTCAAAGGTCACTGCAGCTTCATGAACCAGTTCATTCAGATGTCAGCTGGGTCAAAGGTCGGACCCAAAATCTTTCTGGATTTTGTGTCTGAAACAGTTGCTTAAATATTCAACTCATATTTCCTTCTAATCAGTTAATTACTATTATGTCTTAGTATAATCATATATTTTATATATTTTGTATTTTATTGTGTGTAATATCAGCTGCACAGATTTAAAACTAAATCAGTTTGTAATGTCATTTAGGAAGTGAACCTCATATCTATGCATATTTAATAAATTGGAATATTTTTGGAAAGTTTATTTTAGTCGCTTCATTCGTTTCTCTTAACGATGGAAAACCGAATTCACAGCGAGAACTAAACCTGCTTTCTGATAACTTACAGCTTTTTGATCCTTAGGAATTTATTTTTGTTGGTTTTTCTCAAACGTTTTAAAGCAGCGATGCCCAAAGTGTGGCGCAGGGGCCGATCACGGCCCACTGAGGGATTTTATGCGGCCGTTCAGTTCTGGTCTGCAGGAAATCTGATACCCAAGTTGCTGCATGTGGATTATTTTCCATCTTTTACGGAAATAATTTTTATAGATGAAATAAAAATGAGGTGCAAAAATAGATTCCCAATAATTCTGTTTTCATCTTCACTTTAGAGAAACTAGAACATCGACTTTTCCTCCAACATAAATCATCTGCAGGCCAAACAGGAAAATAATCCCAAACATTTTGAAACTGATAACATCTACAATGATTATATTTTCAACAGGAATCAGAAATTTGGTTGATTTACATCTACAGACAGAGGCCCAGTTTCAAGCCACAAAGTTTATTATACACATCGTTTTGGACCCGGTTGGGTTTCTAACATTTGGACCCGTTTGTTTCGTCTGGGACAGGAACCATGCTGGCCCCGACGTTGGTGTTCTGGATGCTGAACGGCCTGCTGCTGCTGGTGGACACTTCTGGGAAACCGTCCTTCATCACTCGGTACCGGATCCAGGAGGGCAGGAACGACCCGGTAGGTTCTTCTCTGTGGCCCGGTTCAGATTCCACTGAAATCAATGAGCACAAAATGACAAAGCAGGAAATGTTTTCCCAGTCAGAGTCAGAGTCTGCCATAGAGGTGATCAAAGTGGGGCCCCCCGGGGCCGTTTGTGGACCGGGGGCCGTTTGTGGACCAGGGGGCCGTTTGTGGACCGGGGGCCGTTTGTGGACCAGGGGCCGTTTGTGGACCAGGGGGCCGTTTGTGGACCGGGGGCCGTTTGTGGACCAGGGGCCGTTTGTGGACCAGGGGCCGTTTGTGGACCAGGGGCCGTTTGTGGACCGGGGGCCGTTTGTGGACCAGGGGCCGTTTGTGGACCGGGGGCTGTTTGTGGACCAGGGGCCGTTTGTGGACTGGGGGGGCCGTTTGTGGACCGGGGGACCGTTTGTGGACCGGGGGGCCGTTTGTGGACCGGGGGCCGTTTGTGGACCAGGGACCGTTTGTGGGCCGGGGGGCCGTTTGTGGACCAGGGGCCGTTTGTGGACCAGGGGGCCGTTTGTGGACCGGGGGGCCGTTTGTGGACCAGAGGCCGTTTGTGGACTGGGGGGCCGTTTGTGGGCCCCCCGGGATGAACTTTGTGCAGCCCTGTGACTGCAATTTAAAAACCGCAGAAACTTTTTGTCATTTTTCTTTTAGTGGAAAGTTTATTTCTGAAACTAAAGTGTAAAATTATGCAGTTATTTTGTCTCATGAAAACATTTAGCGACTTTAGTGCAAAACTCACATTTATGTGAAAACAGCAGCAAAAGGAAGGAAAGTCATGTTTGCGTTATGAAGCGGTCTGGTTGTGCGGTTCTGGTTGTGCGGTTCTGGTTGTGCGGTTCTGGTTCTGGTTTCCTAACGAATCTGAGATTTATTCACTCCTCTCTGCTGATGTCCCTTGAATGAACTTTGACCTTGTTTCCACATTTGAGCTCCCATCTCTGCTGCGCTCTGGGTTCCCTGTTGGGATTCTGCTTCCTGCTCGGTTGCGGTCACATCCAGCAGGGGGCGCTCTCGCTCCTACTGGGACAAAACACTGGATGTGATAATCCAAAACAATCCAACACGCTGAATAATCCTGATTCTGGATGTGGGATTCTGGACTGGAGTGACCCGATCAGGGCGGCGGGATTAAACCATAATCTGAGAACGTGACGTCGGTCTGCCGCTGTGCCTCTGAGGAAAGTCCCACTCACAGATAAACATTAATGATTATTGATCAGCGATTAGGTCCAGAACATTCTGAACAAGAAGTTCACTCCCTGATTCCAGCTGCAGTTTTTATATTTACAGCCACTGATGAAACAAATGTCTGCCGCTGCATTTCACCTCATCATCCTTCAGTTTCACATTTCCTGAGTTAAAATGTTAAATTTAAAGAAATCAAGTTTTTCAATAAAAAGGTTTTCAACTCTCCATTTCCTTAAACTGCAACGGAAACAATTTTCGCATCAACAGGAAGTTACTACTGCTGGAGACCACAAAGAAGAAGACAGGAAATGATGATAATGTGTATTTCTGTAAGACTTATGTGAACAAACTTATTCATGTGATTTTAATGTAGTTTATTATTTAATGGAAACATGATTAGAATATGGGCAAACTTTTGATCATATTAGTGAGAAACTCAGAACCTCAACACCAATTAAGTAATTATTACTTTAATTCAGGTTTTTAAATGAAATGATAAAATAATTCACTAGCATTATGGATCTGATTTTGCATCACAATCAGTTGATGCAATAAAATAATTTTTAAAGAAAATAATCCAGATTATTCTTGTTGCTGAGACCAATTTCTTTTAATAAAGTCAATTTATTACATAGAAAATCATTTTCAATGTGAATAAAAGTAGAAAAATCTGCATTTAGCAGCAAATCGCTGATCTAAATATCTATATTGATGCAGATGATGTCTGATCCATAAGGGCAGATCTATTCAGTCTAATTCTATGTTCTGACTGACGTCTTTATTTTACTTTTCATTTGAAATAAATAATTAAACTTTGCTTCAGTTATTTTCTACTCTGACTGACAGATGAACGTTTTGATGTGTTTGACCAAGTGGTGGCGCTGTTCCAGCCTTCAGTTTGTGACTCGGCTGCAGAACCTCAGCTGGTACCGGCGAGCGGCTCGATGAACGGTGTCTGTTCCCGCAGGTGGACCCGGCCAAGCTGCGGCAGGCGGTTCGGACCGTCCTGTTCAACCAGGTTCTGGTCTCCGGGTCCATGGTGGTTCTGGTCTACCTGCTGACCAGCCGGACCGGCCGGCCCTGCGGCCCGGAGCTGCCCACCTTCCACCGAGGCCTGATGGAGCTCGGCCTGTTCTCCATGCTGGAGGAGATCCTCTTCTACTACTCACACAGGCAGGACACACTGGGAACCAGTTCCAGGGAACTAGTTGCTGGGAACCAGTTGCTGGGAACTAGTTGCTGGGAACCAGTTCCAGGGAACCAGTTGCTGGGAACTAGTTGCTGGGAACTAGTTGCTGGGAACCAGTTCCAGGGAACCAGTTGCTGGGAACTAGTTGCTGGGAACCAGTTCCAGGGAACTAGTTGCTGGGAACTAGTTGCTGGGAACCAGTTCCAGGGAACTAGTTCCAGGGAACCAGTTGCTGGGAACTAGTTTCTGGGAACCAGTTCCAGGGAACCAGTTCCAGGGAACCAATTGCTGGGAACTAGTTGCTGGGAACCAGTTCCAGGGAACCAGTTGCTGGGAACTAGTTGCTGGGAACCAGTTGCTGGGAACCAGTTCCGGGAACTAGTTGCTGGGAACTAGTTGCTGGGAACCAGTTCCAGAGAACCAGTTCCGGGAACTAGTTGCTGGGAACTAGTTGCTGGGAACCAATTGCTGGGAACTAGTTGCTGGGAACCAGTTCCAGGGAACCAGTTCCAGGGAACCAGTTCCGGGAACTAGTTGCTGGGAACTAGTTGCTGGGAACCAGTTCCAGGGAACCAGTTGCTGATCCGTCTGTCGTTCCCCAGGTTGTTCCACCATCCCAGCCTCTACAAGCATTTCCACAAGCAGCATCATGAATGGACCGCTCCCATCGGCGTCGTCTCCATCTACGCTCATCCTCTGGAGCACGTGGTACAGCCGCCATTTTCTCTGTGTACTGCTGGTAGATTCACTCAGGAAGCTTTCCTCCTTCAGTCGGGTCGACCCGGTTCTACTGGAACCAGAACATCTGCTCCACCTCCAGCTGCTGTGGTTCTGACCCAAACCAGCCTGTTCCCCTCCTGGCCTGGGGGCGCTGCACCAACAACCACTGCAGGAAACGACACTAAAACCTCTGAAGAGAGCAACTTCCTGTTTGACCAGATGAAACCTGTTCAATAACTGGCAGTTTCTGGTTTATGTTTAACTTCTGAAAAATAATCAGCAGGAAGTGAAAACTGGATAAAACAGGAAGTGTTGCATCTGCAGTTTGACAGATATTTGAAGCAAAAAATGAATCGATTATCAATATCGAGCGATATGATCGTTGCTCCGACTCAGAACACAGCAGCTGCAGGCGTTCTGGTTCCAGTAGAACCGGGTCGACCCGACTGAAAGAGGCTCATCTGTGATGTTGTTCACGTTTGCGTCTCCATCAGATCTCCAACATGCTGCCGGTGGTGATCGGACCCGTCCTGCTGGGCTCCCACATCACCACCACCAGCGTGTGGTACTGCCTGGCTCTGGTCAGCACCACCGTGTCCCACTGCGGCTACCACCTGCCCTTCCTGCCCTCGCCCGAGTTCCACGACTTCCACCACCTGCGGTGAGTGGCACTCCGCCCGACCCGACCCGACGCACAGAACCGTCGCACAGAACCCGACCTCCCGACCCGACCCCCAGAACCACATAGATGTCTGTGGCGGGCTGCGTTTGGCCCCCGCCCCGGTACTTGATCCGCCTCTCCTGGTTCCAGGTTCAACCAGTGCTTCGGCGTGTTCGGCGTTCTGGACCGGCTGCACGGCACCGACTCGCGCTTCCGGCAGACGAAGCAGTACGAGCGGCACACCTTGCTCACCAGCCTGACCCCGCTCACCCACAGCATCCCCGACACCCACAAGAAGGGCCGGTGACGACCTCCGACCCCCTGGCCATTGAGGGAGCCCTAACCTTTGACCCCGGGAGTTCCTGCAGCGCTTTGATTTGACATGAATCCGGTTGATCGGTTCCAGCAGAACTTGGTCTCGTTTTGTATTTCTGATCCAGATGTTTTCAGTGAAACATGCAGAATATTTCACAGGAACATTAAAATGTTTGTCGCATTTGATTCTTCGGTTTCTGAAGTGGAAAATTTAAATCTGTAACGACTGAAAACATTTCTCTTTGAAATAATGCAGGTCATTTTTTCCTCAATAATTTATTTTGGTTTCATTGAGACTTTTTGTTTTCTGGTAATATTAGCACTTTGTTATTTTGCACATTATGACTTTATTGTCATGACTGCAGACATCAAACCCGGTTCATCTCTGAAATATGGAAATCCAGATTGCGTCTGTCAATTTCTTCCCAAAAATCTAAAAGTTGATGAATCAATGCTATGGATCAGCAGCACAGAGGAAGGAAACCCGCTGAGCCCTGAACAAACTTCCTGCTCCGTCATAAATCACGCTGCGGCGCCACTTTCAGGTTTTTTTGTCTGTTTTCAGTTTTTTTTCTTTATTAAAGGATAAAGCATAATTACTACAAATAACACTAACAGCGAATCACGTCAGCCTACAAAGCAGATATTATGAATATTAAATGTTATGATACAAGCTCTCATTCAAATATTTTACATTTTTTTCCACTTTATATATTTTTTTTGTTCCTTTTGTTCTCATTTTCATCTTTTTTTCCTCATAACAAGCCAAAGGAAATGTTATGGTTCAGGTAATCTTATTCATATGGCTTCATGGAAACTTTCGTCCTTTTCAGTCTCATAAGCAGCCAAGTTTTCCATCCGGGTCTCCGGCGCCCCCTGCTGTCCACCGGCAGCTAGCAGCACATGAGGAAGAGGAAGAGCTGGGAGGAAGAGGAAGGTTTCCCATTTCAACGTCCAACAGAGACTGGAAAAATAAAATGAAGCATCGCAGCCGAACGCGACCTTCAGAATGACCTTTATCTCCAGGAATCAGCCAATCAGGACAGAGTCTCTGCTTTGTCCAGCTTCCAAACAAACAGAGAAATTCAGCCGTTTCATCCGGTTAATGTCAAAGGTCCTGGCCAAAACAAAAGATTTAAAAATGCAGCTTCTCAGGAAATTTAAATAGTAAATAAACAAAAATTATGATTGCAGTGTGTGAGCATGTTCATGGAAAGTTGTGTGGAAGGAAAAAGTGCAGCAGATTTAAAAAATATACATTTCAGAAAATTGTAGAGCATCATATTTTGATTGGGAAGTAAACTTATATTTATCCTTTGCAGTTTGAGGAGTCGGCGTCTGGACTGTTGAATCGGTAAATGGAGACAAAAGTCACATAAAAATTACGTTTTTTAAATAGCTGTAATATCATTAAAATTTTCTGAGAGCCACAAAAAGTTCAAAAGTGTCACGACACGTAATGAATCTGGACTTTTAGAATCACTTTACCGACATAAAGACCATATTCTAAGTTATTAATTTGCTCCTTTTGTCAACATTTTATGTTTTCAAGATTTTTACAAAAATTTACAAATATCTAATTTATTCCTCAACTTTTTTTTTTTTTTTTTTTTTTTTAAGTATTTCACTAACAGAAATTACCTGAAGCGATTTAATAATTAGTCTGCTTTGCTGTTATGGTTTTACCCATTTTGACCTTTGATTCTCCAACCATAGCAGAGCAAATTAAACTAAACAAATTCAAAATAAAGAGTTAAAGACAAAAAATATAGAATCTGCTGATCTTTATCTGTTCAGGTTTACACGACATCATCGGGTCCCGGTCCAAGTCCCGGTCCAAGTCCCGGGTCCAGGTCCAGGTCCGGGTCCCGGGTCCAGGTCCGGGTACCGGTCCAGGTCCGGGTCCGGGTCCCGGGTCCAGGTCCCGGGTCCAGGTCCGGGTACCGGTCCAGGTCCAGGTCCAGGTCCAGGTCCCGGGTCCAGGTCCGGGTCCGGGTCCGGGTCCAAGTCCCGGGTCCAGGTCCAGGTCCGGGTCCAGGTCCGGGTCCAAGTCCCGGGTCCAGGTCCGGGTCCAGGTCCAGGTCCCGGGTCCAGGTCCGAGTCCAAGTCCGGGTCCAAGTCCCGGGTCCAGGTCCGGGTCCGGGTCCGGGTCCGGGTCCGGGTCCCGGGTCCAGGTCCGGGTCCAAGTCCCGGGTCCAGGTCCGGGTCCGGGTCCCGGGTCCAGGTCCGGGTCCGGGTCCAAGTCCCGGGTCCAGGTCCAGGTCCGGGTCCGGGTCCGGGTCCAAGTCCCGGGTCCAGGTCCGGGTCCGGGTCCCGGGTCCAGGTCCAGGTCCCGGGTCCGGGTCCAGGTCCAGGTCCCGGGTCCAGGTCCGGGTCCAAGTCCCGGGTCCAGGTCCAGGTCCGGGTCCAGGTCCGGGTCCAGGTCCCGGGTCCAGGTCCGGGTCCAGGTCCCGGGTCCGGGTCCGGGTCCAGGTCCGGGTGGCTTAGCGTTGCTGACAGCTGGAAGGAGGAGGAGCCAGAAGGCGGCCATCTTTAATTCTCACTTGAGTTGGTTTGTTTTTTTAAATCTCAGTAACAGAAGGAAGACGGTTCAGACGGAGGGAAACCCGGCAGCGCCACCTGGTGGCCGCTGCTGGAACAGGCCACCATGGTAACATGGTAACATCAGAATAAGGCAACGATCACAGCCTGACGGAGCGGGTCTCTGCTTTATGTGGCTGTGAGTCAGATTCATGAGGAACCGGTCCGGTCCTGATCGGTCCGGTCCAGATCGGGGAGTCAAAACCTTCCAGACGGAGCGGTGGGGGAAACTCGTTCTTCAGTGATCCATCCACAAATTTAAACCTCTTGAGAAAAATCAAAGTCAACGGTTTTTGTTCTGAAACTGATCAGGTGAACGAATGAAGCGCTCCTCCCCTCCGGCGCCAGGCAGACCCGCTCGGCTCGGTCCCCGCAGAACCCTGTTGCAGTTACTTCAGTGTTTTGGCGTCCGGTTCTGCAGCGGCTCTCTGGTTCTGCTTGGCGGGTTTGGCAATGTCCTTGGCTGAGGAGCCAGCAGCAGCAGCAACAGGTGTGGGAGGGGTGGCGGCGCAGGCCTGGCTATGGGGCCGGCCGGAGGGCTGGGAGGGGTGGCGGCGCCGGCCGTCTCCGCTGGACGGGTGTCTCCTGCGTCCACCGTCGTCCATCGGAGGCTGGAAGAGGACAGAAACGCTTCAGGAAGTGAAGGAAGGATTCAGGGTTTCTGCCGCCGTCAGCAAATCTAAAACTTTTTATAACATTTTAAATTCAATTTAAGACTCATGTCCAAAACAGCAAATGGACATTAAGCAACCTTGATGACCTGAAGACAGAGAAAAAAACAAAAACTACTTGGGAGATTATATATATATATATAAAAAATTCCCTACTCACCCACCGCGGGTGGTTCTTATCCTCTGAACTCGGGTCCTCTACCAGAGGATATATAGATCTATATATATAGATCTATATACATAGATCTATATGGTCCTCTACCAGAGGCCTGGGAGCTTGAGGGTCCTGCAGTATCTTGACTGTGCCAAGGACTGCTGCACATTTCTGGACTGAGATGTCTGATGTTGTTCCTGGGATCTGTTGTAGCCACTGCTCCAGTTTGGGGGTGTATATATATATATATATATATATATATATATAATATATATATATATATATATATATATATATATATATATATATATATATATATATATAGTAGATTTGCAAAATGCTAACTAGCAGGGCTATATCAGCCAGTTGCTATCAGTAACATCAACTGCTTCCAATCAGAATTAAAAACAATGCTGGAGACATTAGTGCTGCCATGATAAAATCTGAGGCCTGTAATTAATGTATTTAAGGCCGACTTTCCTTTTGTCCTTAATTTAAGACGTTTCAAGGCCTTAATTCACAAACATGAATAGCAGACCATTTAAGACCAGTGAATGAAACTTTAGACCCAAATCACAATAGAAATCTACAAAAGAGATCATGACACATGAACTCACTCATCCAGACAACAAATAGCTAGCAAGAGTACATTAGCATCTTGTTAGCATTAGCCTGGAATACCTCAGGCTACAGAACCCAACAATGTAGTAGAAAATAGTTTATGACGTTTAAGACCTGTGATTAATTTATTTAAGGACGACTTAAAAATGATTTTAAGGCCTTAATTTTAAATACATGGATTTGATACTTTTCAATGATGAGCAGAAAAGCTGCATTCTCTGGATTATTCTGATGATTAATTGGATAAATGAATGGTCCTGTTTTGTAGTAGCCACTTATAATAGTAAAAGATGAAAAAATGTCTCATGTAAATGATTAAATTCCTTTTTTAAAGATGAAAACATTTCCTGTTTTTTCACATCATTGCTCTTTTGATCTGGATGATATTGAACCAAATTTAATTTGCTTTAAGGAATTTTCTTTTTTTTTTAATTTTTTATTTTTTTCTTCTCTTTACTCATCCTCGATCCTCCAGGCGTTTGAAGTTGCTCAGACATTGCTGCAGTTTGGGTTCGATCTCCAGGTTCTTGGCTTTGGAGTATTTGAGGAAAGCCCAGAACTTCTCCAGGCCGTACAGCTGACCTGAGAGCCGGACCAGAACTCATTACATCAACTGGAAAGTTCATTTCATGGGATTTAACATGATTTTAAATCGTTTACAGATCTGAACAGTCATCAATTAATCTGATTAAAAATGGTCACATTTAACAGCATTTCAATTATTCATCCAATGAAAACATGTAACTTTATGAAACAGAACAATGACACATTCATTTAGGATGAATCAAAATATTTCTGTGAAAACTTGAACTGAGTATCAGCCAGTGGAAAATTATCTGGGATTATTGATTGGGTTAAACTGATTTGAAGATTTTTTTTGATCACAGAATAAATTTGTGACTTTTTGTCAGTTTTTGGTGGAAAATCTTTAGACAATAAATATTTTTTTCATTTTAAATGCAAAATGTTTTTATTCTTGCTCCAGTCAATGATTAATCCATAACTGAATCAATTGACTAATCGTGATGAATCGTTTCCTGACCTGCTTCGTAATCTTTCATGGTTTCCTCCTGGAAGTCCTTGAAGATGTCGGGTCTGAACTTCCTCTCCAGGCCGTAGCTGTAGTACCGGAACAGGCACTCCAAACCGTACCTGCAGCACAGAGCCAATCAGAACGCGCCGCGCCAGCCAATGAGGCGCTGCGGAGCGACCGCTACCTGTAGCCCTCCTTGCCGTCCTCCACCACCAGCTGCCTGAACTCCTCGTACATCTTCCTGTTGAAGTGATCCCGCAGGAAGAACGACCAGAACCGGAACAGCGTGTTCATCTCCTGCGATTGGCCGATTCCCAGCCGCTTCCTCTCTGTGACGGGCGGAGAAAACAGCGTTCAGGTCGCTAGTCGCCGGGCGGCGGCGGCGAGGGAGGCTTACCGTTCAGGCAGCGCCGGCGGTATTTGTGGTAGACGTGTTGCGTGAAGCCGTTCTCCTTCAGCAGCTCGTGTGACGGGTGCTGGAACTTCGGCAGGGACTGCGGCGTGCAGCCGACGCCGCCGAGGACGGGCGTCCCTTCAGACGGGCTGGCGTTGGAGCTGCTGGGGCGGAGCAACACCAGGGGGGCGGAGCAACACCAGGGGGCGGAGCAACACCAGGGGGGCGGAGCAACACCAGGGGGGCGGAGCAACACAAACCACAGAAAAACTCATTCACAGCCAGATTTACTGAGCTTCAACTAAACTCCAGTCTGCAGAATTTTGACTCGTTTTCCATGAAAACCTAACAGCTTTTGTTTGTAACGCCAGCACTTCCCTCACCTGACGGAGGCGGTGCGGGAGCGGTGCTCCCTGGAGTCCATCACCCAGCCCACGTGGCACTCCAGAGGAGGGTTGGAGCTGTGTCGGGTCTTCCTCTTCCTCGGTGTCTGAAACAGACGAAACCGTGAGACTCGGCTCAAGTTTTCCTCATCAAACTCCCGACTTTCTTCGTCTTGCCTTGGCGTCGACCGGCCGGCTCTCCTTCACCACCGGGTAGAAGCGCGGCGTCGCGGCGGCGTCCTTCCTGTGGGGCGTGCGTGGCGTGCGGGGCGTCCGGGCGCTGCGGTAGTTGGGAGACTCGGGCACGGTGGTGGGCAGCGAGCGCGCCGTGGAGGACGGATCGGGAACGCCGAACAGTTTGTTTGCCAGAGCGTCTGTGGGGACTGGAAACAGAGAGGAACAGGAAGTGAAGGATTCTGAATTCAATCATTACTTCTGGAAAATTGAATCCAAATTCTGAAAAAAATTAAAACAGGGTGAGAATTGGGAAGAGAAGTCTCAATTCTCAGGAAAAATATTGAAATTCTGACAGAAAAAATCTGAATTGAACAAAAAGTCAAGATTTTTCTGTATTGGTCCTAAAATATTATAAAAATAAACACAATATTAAAAGAGAAATAAGCCTAAATCTAGGTCGTTGTGTCCTTACTCTGCTGGGGCGGGGCGGCCCCCGGCGGCACTTCCTGGTTGGGGTCAACCGGGGGTTCAGGGGTCAGACAGTCGAACTGTTCGCGGCTGATCAGATGAACCTTCTTGAAGTTTTCCACCTCTTGCTGCAGAAATACGACACAAAGTTGAATTTCAGTCGGTTTTAAGCTGACGGACCGTAAGGATCGTCAGGAAACCACAGCGACCCGAAGCGCTGGTACCGCTCGGTACCGCTCGGTACCGGACCAGACACGGCTGAACGGCCCGCTTCCCGTTTGAACGAGCTGCCGAACGCCTCCGGACCGCACGGCGTCCATCTCCCCGTCAGGCGGCCAGCTGCTTATAAAGCCGCGGTCCGCGGGGCGCTGGACGTACGCCGGGCGACACGTGGCGGTCCCACACAATGGGTCGCCACGGCAACAAAGCAGAACAAAACTAAAAGCAGCGCTCTGCGTTTCATAATAATCCCGAGTCCTCTGGTCTGCGGCAGAATCGCCTCCACAAACAGAGAAGAACCACGGAGCCAGAAAAGCTCCCACACGCCTTCAGAATAAAAGACCCGACTTCCTGGTTTATTTCTCACTTCCTTTTCTAAAAGGAAATTTCAAACGGCAGGAAACATTTTCTAAACCTGGGTTTTATTTCAATCATCTGTTCAGTGAACGTTAAGGCTGCAGGAAATATTTGATCCTAAAATTATAAACAAAATATTAGAAAAAGTTTCGGATTAGTTAGCAGGATGTGATGTCACAATTGGACTGCTGCTGATAATTTGAAGCAGATGTGTTTAGATTAATTGTGTCTACTAAGCATTAATTATAATTTTTAAAACTTATACCAAGTATTTATTCACAAGAAGATTATGTTAATTGATTTGGATTGTTTTTTCATCTTCTCAAAGTTTCGACTTTTTCTCCTGATATTTTGATTTCAATAAAGAAACAAATTCAGTTTTGGTCTGAATGATAAAATATTCTTTGACTTTATTGTTGAGACTTTTTCTGGTAAATAAAATAAAAATAAAATCATATTCTGACTCCAACTCCAAGTCCAAACGAACAAGATGGCCGTCTGGGTGTGACATCACTTGTAACTATGGAAACCCAGGGAAACAAATCCACATTTTCCAAAATTAAATCTTCAAAAGTCAAAACTTTGATTAATCAGTTTAACCATTCAATAGTTTACAGTTTAGTTTGATTTGGTTTAGAATTTTTGACATAAATATTGTTTAGATTTTGTAGCAGTAGTTTTAGTTTCTCATATTTCGGTTTATTTTTAGGTGCAGAAAAGTATCGACTACGTAAACATGGATCGGCCATTTTTACTGAGCAGAAGAAACTATTTTAAGAAATGTGTTAAACTAGAGAATGGAGTCCGGACGGGTCGGTTAGTCCAGGCCTCCAAGGTCTCCTGAAACGTTTCGACTTCAGTTAATGAGGCCATTAGCAGGACTCTGCAGAACGTGACTGCATCTAGGAGTTGATTCAGCGATTTGGTTCAGCTGTGTTGGAGACGTCCAAGACGGCCCTGGGTCGGTCCCATCGGTCCCATCGGACTCGATGGCTAAGAAATGGATCAATAAACCTGAGAATGACGGATGTTGCCTCTGTAACTGCAGCAGGTTTTAGTTTTAGAAATGCAGGACGACGGTTTGTTACGGTTTTCCTCGTTTGGTTTGGTTTCAGTGAGCGGAGCGGCGGTGACCTCGGCTGACCTTGATGGTGGCGTACTCCGGCTCGTACTTGTCGTCCCACAAGTCCTGCTCGTAGTAGAAGAGGCCGTCGTTGATGACCTTGGCCAGCTCGCTGGTCAGCTTGGCGCGCGACGTGTGGTGGCCGGTGCGGTCGCCGCCCGGGTGCTTCCGCAGGTACGGCGGCGTCTGCGTGACGATCAGGATCTTGTTGACGTCGTGGTCGTCCAGCTCGCAGTCCGAGTCCTCGTCCGACCAGTCGGTGAAGGTGTTGCGCCGGCCGTCCATCTGCTCCATCTCCTCGTCGAACATGAAGTCCAGCTCCTCCGGCTCGTCCGGCTCGGCGCCGTCCTGACAGAAAACATTCACAGCCTGTTAAACATTTCCATACATTTCATTGAATTTAATGTGAAAAAACAGAGACAAATAGTCGCCTTTACCTTTCGGAAGAAAATCTTTTCAGGAGAATTTTCACTATGTTGTACTTTTTACTTTTACCTTTTATTATGAAGCAACTCCAATCTCCAGTAAAATTTCTGGATCGTCCAGAACGTAGAAACTTCTTCCACACATTTTACTCAAGTGAAAGTAAAAAGTACAGCGTAGTAAAAATATTTTTTCAAAAAAGTTACTGAAGTAAATGTACCGAATTATTATCCAACTCTGGTCTGAATAAAAAAACATTTTAACCAACAAATTCCTGACAACCAGACGGTGAAATGAAGCATTTATGGTTTTTAAAAACCGAAACATTAATGGTTAAAATGTTCAAATCAAAGATAAGTCACTGATTTATTTTAGGTTTATTAATGCAGATTAATTTCTCAAGGCACAAGATCTCATTTTTAAAACTCTCCCATATTGATAATAGAAATAATAAACTCATCTGCAGGCGAATCAATGTAAAAAAATAACTGCAGCCGTCGAGCAATGTCTAGAAATCTGGAAAAATTATTTTCATTTTTTACAAACTTTTTCAGAAAATGAGAAATCTTTTTTTTACGATTTCACGCCGTTTTCAGCCATTAAAACTAGTGATGATTATTAATTTCCCACCTTGTTTCCAGCGATCAGCGGCGCCAGCGTGGAGCCGGCCGGCGGCAGCGGAGATCGCAGCAAATCATCTTTTTCCCTCAGCTGCAGCGAGGGCGCCTGAAACATGGAGCAGACAAGATGAAGGACTAAAACTCACCTGGTCTACCTGGACTTATGGAAAATAATGAAAAAAATACATAGGATGTCTGATAATAACTGACTTTAGTCTTTAAGAAATGGATAGATGTGTTTATAGCATGAGAGTCAAGCTCGTTAGGGAGGAGCTCGTTAGATAGGAACTAGTTAGGGAGGAGCTTGTTAGATAGGAACTAGTTAGGGAGGAGCTTGTTAGATAGAACTAGTTAGGGAGGAGCTCGTTAGATAGAACTAGTTAGGGAAGAGCTCGTTAGATAGAACTAGTTAGGGAGGAGCTCGTTAGATAGGAACTAGTTAGGGAAGAGCTTGTTAGATAGGAACTAGTTAGGGAAGAGCTTGTTAGATAGGAACTAGTTAGGGAGGAGCTCGTTAGATAGGAACTAGTTAGGGAGGAGCTCGTTAGATAGGAACTAGTTAGGGAGGAGCTCGTTAGATAGGAACTAGTTAGGGAAGAGCTCGTTAGATAGGAACTAGTTAGGGAAGAGCTTGTTAGATAGGAACTAGTTAGGGAAGAGCTTGTTAGATAGGAACTAGTTAGGGAAGAGCTTGTTAGATAGGAACTAGTTAGGGAGGAGCTTGTTAGATAGGAACTAGTTAGGGAGGAGCTCGTTAGATAGGAACTAGTTAGGGAGGAGCTCGTTAGATAGGAACTAGTTAGGGAGGAGCTCGTTAGATAGGAAGTAGTTAGGGAGGAGCTTGTTAGATAGGAACTAGTTAGGGAGGAGCTTGTTAGATAGGAACTAGTTAGGGAAGAGCTTGTTAGATAGGAACTAGTTAGGGAAGAGCTTGTTAGATAGGAACTAGTTAGGGAAGAGCTTGTTAGATAGGAACTAGTTAGGGAGGAGCTTGTTAGATAGGAACTAGTTAGGGAGGAGCTCGTTAGATAGAACTAGTTAGGGAAGAGCTCGTTAGATAGAACTAGTTAGGGAAGAGCTCGTTAGATAGGAACTAGTTAGGGAGGAGCTCGTTAGATAGAACTAGTTAGGGAAGAGCTCGTTAGATAGAACTAGTTAGGGAAGAGCTCGTTAGATAGGAACTAGTTAGGGAAGAGCTTGTTAGATAGGAACTAGTTAGGGAAGAGCTTGTTAGATAGGAACTAGTTAGGGAGGAGCTCGTTAGATAGGAACTAGTTAGGGAGGAGCTCGTTAGATAGGAACTAGTTAGGGAGGAGCTCGTTAGATAGGAACTAGTTAGGGAAGAGCTCGTTAGATAGGAACTAGTTAGGGAAGAGCTTGTTAGATAGGAACTAGTTAGGGAAGAGCTTGTTAGATAGGAACTAGTTAGGGAAGAGCTTGTTAGATAGGAACTAGTTAGGGAGGAGCTTGTTAGATAGGAACTAGTTAGGGAGGAGCTCGTTAGATAGGAACTAGTTAGGGAGGAGCTCGTTAGATAGGAACTAGTTAGGGAGGAGCTCGTTAGATAGGAAGTAGTTAGGGAGGAGCTTGTTAGATAGGAACTAGTTAGGGAGGAGCTTGTTAGATAGGAACTAGTTAGGGAAGAGCTTGTTAGATAGGAACTAGTTAGGGAAGAGCTTGTTAGATAGGAACTAGTTAGGGAAGAGCTTGTTAGATAGGAACTAGTTAGGGAGGAGCTTGTTAGATAGGAACTAGTTAGGGAAGAGCTTGTTAGATAGGAACTAGTTAGGGAGGAGCTTGTTAGATAGGAACTAGTTAGAGAGGAGCTTGTTAGATAGGAACTAGTTAGGGAAGAGCTTGTTAGATAGGAACTAGTTAGGAAGGAGTTTGTTAGATAGGAACTAGTTACGGAAGGAGCTTGTTAGATAGGAACTAGTTAGGGAAGAGCTTGTTAGATAGGAACTAGTTAGGGAGGAGCTTGTTAGATAGGAACTAGTTAGGGAGGAGCTTGTTAGATAGGAACTAGTTAGAGAGGAGCTTGTTAGATAGGAACTAGTTAGGGAAGAGCTTGTTAGATAGGAACTAGTTAGGGAAGAGCTTGTTAGATAGGAACTAGTTAGGGAAGAGCTTGTTAGATAGGAACTAGTTAGGGAGGAGCTTGTTAGATAGGAACTAGTTAGGGAGGAGCTTGTTAGATAGGAACTAGTTAGGGAAGAGCTTGTTAGATAGGAACTAGTTAGGGAGGAGCTTGTTAGATAGGAACTAGTTAGGGAAGAGCTTGTTAGATAGGAACTAGTTAGGGAGGAGCTTGTTAGATAGAACTAGTTAGGGAGGAGCTTGTTAGATAGAACTAGTTAGGGAGGAGCTCGTTAGATAGGAACTAGTTAGGGAGGAGCTTGTTAGATAGGAACTAGTTAGGGAGGAGCTTGTTAGATAGGAACTAGTTAGGGAGGAGCTTGTTAGATAGGAACTAGTTAGGGAGGAGCTTGTTAGATAGGAACTAGTTAGGGAGGAGCTTGTTAGATAGGAACTAGTTAGGGAAGAGCTTGTTAGATAGGAACTAGTTAGGGAAGAGCTTGTTAGATAGGAACTAGTTAGGGAAGAGCTTGTTAGATAGGAACAAGTTAGGGAGGAGCTTGTTAGATAGGAACTGGTTAGGGAGGAGCTTGTTAGATAGGAACTAGTTAGGGAGGAACTTGTTAGATAGGAACTAGTTAGGGAGGAGCTTGTTAGATAGGAACTAGTTAGCGAGGAGCTTGTTAGATAGGAACTAGTTAGGGAAGAGCTTGTTAGATAGGAACTAGTTAGGGAGGAGCTTGTTAGATAGGAACTAGTTAGGGAGGAGCTTGTTAGATAGGAACTAGTTAGGGAAGAGCTTGTTAGATAGGAACTAGTTAGGGAGGAGCTTGTTAGATAGGAACTAGTTAGGGAGGAGCTTGTTAGATAGGAACTAGTTAGGGAGGAGCTTGTTAGATAGGAACTAGTTAGGGAGGAGCTTGTTAGATAGGAACTAGTTAGAGAGGAGCTTGTTAGATAGGAACTAGTTAGGGAAGAGCTTGTTAGATAGGAACTAGTTAGGGAGGAGCTTGTTAGATAGGAACTAGTTAGGGAGGAGCTTGTTAGATAGGAACTAGTTAGGGAAGAGCTTGTTAGATAGGAACTAGTTAGGGAGGAGCTTGTTAGATAGGAACTAGTTAGGGAGGAGCTTGTTAGATAGGAACTAGTTAGGGAGGAGCTTGTTAGATAGGAACTAGTTAGAGAGGAGCTTGTTAGATAGGAACTAGTTAGGGAGGAGCTTGTTAGATAGGAACTAGTTAGGGAGGAGCTTGTTAGATAGGAACTAGTTAGAGAGGAGCTTGTTAGATAGGAACTAGTTAGGGAAGAGCTTGTTAGATAGGAACTAGTTAGGGAGGAGCTTGTTAGATAGGAACTAGTTAGGGAAGAGCTTGTTAGATAGGAACTAGTTAGGGAAGAGCTTGTTAGATAGGAACTAGTTAGGGAGGAGCTTGTTAGATAGGAACTAGTTAGGGAAGAGCTTGTTAGATAGGAACTAGTTAGGGAGGAGCTTGTTAGATAGGAACTAGTTAGAGAGGAGCTTGTTAGATAGGAACTAGTTAGGGAAGAGCTTGTTAGATAGGAACTAGTTAGGGAGGAGCTTGTTAGATAGGAACTAGTTAGGGAGAGCTTGTTAGATAGGAACTAGTTAGGGAGGAGCTTGTTAGATAGGAACTAGTTAGGGAAGAGCTTGTTAGATAGGAACTAGTTAGGGAAGAGCTTGTTAGATAGGAACTAGTTAGAGAGGAGCTTGTTAGATAGGAACTAGTTAGGGAAGAGCTTGTTAGATAGGAACTAGTTAGGGAAGAGCTTGTTAGATAGGAACTAGTTAGGAAAGAGCTTGTTAGATAGGAACTAGTTAGGGAGGAGCTTGTTAGATAGGAACTAGTTAGGGAAGAGCTTGTTAGATAGGAACTAGTTAGGGAAGAGCTTGTTAGATAGGAACTAGTTAGGGAGGAGCTTGTTAGATAGGAACTAGTTAGGGAGGAGCTTGTTAGATAGGAACTAGTTAGGGAAGAGCTTGTTAGATAGAACTAGTTAGGGAAGAGCTTGTTAGATAGGAACTAGTTAGGGAAGAGCTTGTTAGATAGGAACTAGTTAGGGAGGAGCTTGTTAGATAGGAACTAGTTAGGGAGGAGCTTGTTAGATAGGAACTAGTTAGGGAAGAGCTTGTTAGATAGGAACTAGTTAGGGAGGAGCTTGTTAGATAGGAACTAGTTAGGAAGGAGCTTGTTAGATAGGAACTAGTTAGGGAGGAGCTTGTTAGATAGGAACTAGTTAGGGAAGAGCTTGTTAGATAGGAACTAGTTAGGGAGGAGCTTGTTAGATAGGAACTAGTTAGGGAAGAGCTTGTTAGATAGGAACTAGTTAGAGAGGAGCTTGTTAGATAGGAACTAGTTAGGGAGGAGCTTGTTAGATAGGAACTAGTTAGGGAGGAGCTTGTTAGATAGGAACTAGTTAGGGAGGAGCTTGTTAGATAGGAACTAGTTAGGGAAGAGCTTGTTAGATAGGAACTAGTTAGGGAGGAGCTTGTTAGATAGGAACTAGTTAGGGAAGAGCTTGTTAGATAGGAACTAGTTAGAGAGGAGCTTGTTAGATAGGAACTAGTTAGGGAGGAGCTTGTTAGATAGGAACTAGTTAGGGAAGAGCTTGTTAGATAGGAACTAGTTAGGGAGGAGCTTGTTAGATAGGAACTAGTTAGGGAGGAGCTTGTTAGATAGGAACTAGTTAGGGAGGAGCTTGTTAGATAGGAACTAGTTAGGGAAGAGCTTGTTAGATAGGAACTAGTTAGAGAGGAGCTTGTTAGATAGGAACTAGTTAGGGAAGAGCTTGTTAGATAGAACTAGTTAGGGAAGAGCTTGTTAGATAGGAACTAGTTAGGGAAGAGCTTGTTAGATAGGAACTAGTTAGGGAGGAGCTTGTTAGATAGGAACTAGTTAGGGAAGAGCTTGTTAGATAGGAACTAGTTAGGGAGGAGCTTGTTAGATAGGAACTAGTTAGGGAAGAGCTTGTTAGATAGGAACTAGTTAGGGAGGAGCTTGTTAGATAGGAACTAGTTAGGGAAGAGCTTGTTAGATAGGAACTAGTTAGGGAAGAGCTTGTTATATAGGAACTAGTTAGGGAAGAGCTTGTTAGATAAGAACTAGTTAGGGAGGAGCTTGTTAGATAGGAACTAGTTAGGGAGGAGCTTGTTAGATAGGAACTAGTTAGGGAAGAGCTCGTTAGATAGGAACTAGTTAGGGAAGAGCTTGTTAGATAGGAACTAGTTAGGGAAGAGCTTGTTAGATAGGAACTAGTTAGGGAGGAGCTTGTTAGATAGGAACTAGTTAGGGAAGAGCTTGTTAGATAGGAACTAGTTAGGGAGGAGCTTGTTAGATAGGAACTAGTTAGGGAAGAGCTTGTTAGATAGGAACTAGTTAGGGAGGAGCTTGTTAGATAGGAACTAGTTAGGGAAGAGCTTGTTAGATAGGAACTAGTTAGGGAAGAGCTTGTTATATAGGAACTAGTTAGGGAAGAGCTTGTTAGATAAGAACTAGTTAGGGAGGAGCTTGTTAGATAGGAACAAGTTAGGGAGGAGCTTGTTAGATAGGAACTAGTTAGGGAAGAGCTCGTTAGATAGGAACTAGTTAGGGAAGAGCTTGTTAGATAGGAACTAGTTAGGGAAGAGCTTGGTGGGGAGGAGCTCGTCATATCTGGTACCTTGGGTCTGGCAGGCGAAGGTCTGGGTCTCTTCTTCACCTCGATCCAGGACTCAGAGTCGAGGTCGGGCAGGCTGGCTGAGAGGCCTTTGGGCATCGTCTTCAGGTTGGACACGTCTCCACTCTGGTTCACCGGAGTGGAAGATCTGGACGATCCTGCAGCAGAAACACAGTCAAGTACACTGCACATCATGAACATTTTCACTTTAAATACCAAGAACTCCTGGAATTTATGTTTCTGCAAGTTTTCCCAACTCAAACTTGTGTCCATAGCTAGCTGGTTAGCATGGTCATATTAGAGGTTAGTCAGCAATAGTCTCAACTGCCTTGAGCCACAGAACAAAAAAAACGTAAAGAGAACCAATTTACCTTAGATATATGAGGCCATACAAAAAGAAAGCTAGCTACCTAAGGTATGTTGGCTGTGAGTTAGCATCTGGGTGTGATGCTAACTTACAGCCAACTTTAGCCTGACAGAAACAAGCCAACTGATTTTTTAATGCATTTAAGATGTTTAAGGCCACCATAAATGAAATTTCAGACCTATATCTCTACAGAAATCTGACCAAGGAGGAAAGAAGATGCTGGATGATTTTTTTTCTGCTGACCTCTGAACTCCTCCGCCATCTGCCTGGGAACAAACTCAGGACAGTTGATGAGCTGGGAAAAGTCTGTGTGGTTCGGCGCCATCAGGCCCGGAAGAGGCCACCGCCCGGGATCGTCCTTCCGGCGAATTTTCATGTCGATCACCTCCACTTCTTTACTGTCCTTCAGAGCCTTTGGAGCAGACAGAGAAAATAAAGATCTGGAAACCGAGTTTCTGCTGCTAATTCAGCTAAAGATGAGCAAATATCGATTTTATTAGATTCACACGTTTTATCCCTAAACTCACTGAAATCAGAATCAAAATTATTTATTGTTTCACAAAAGCACAACAAAATTTAAATTTAATATTTTATAGCCAAAACAAAAAGCAAGAAATCAATTATGGAGTCAGAACTGTAAAAACAAGGAGCAAGATTAATTTAAAGGTTTACAATAAACTTAGTTTCACATACAGAGAGAGAGAGACAGAGAGAGAGAAAGACAGAGAGAGAGAGAGAGAGACAGAGAGAGACAGAGAGAGAGACAGAGAGAGGGACAGAGAGACAGAGAGAGAGACAGAGAGAGAGACAGAGAGAGAGAGAGACAGACAGAGAGAGAGAGACAGAGAGAGGGACAGAGAGAGAGAGAGACATACAGAGAGAGAGCGACTCCTCTTAGACTAATTTGTCTGCTTTGTTGTATCCAGTCCAGAGCAAAAGTTTGGACACAACCTTCTCATTCAAAGTGTTTCCTTTATTTTCATGACTTTTTTGAATCCACTGATCAACCTGTGAAGTGAAACCGTTTCAGGTGAGACGTCTGGAAGCTCATCAAGAGGAAGCAGAGAGCAAAGCAGTGATCAGAGCAAAACGTTGCTACTCTGAAGAAACTACCAGATAAGGCGCATTTTCAGTTGTTTTACACTTTTTGGTTAGTCCATATTTCCACATGTGTTAATTTATAGTTTGATGCCTTCAGTGTCAATAGTGCTGAAAATAAAGGAAACTCATTGAATGAAAAGCTTTTGCTCTGCACTGTGCATTAGTGAGTCTGACCTCCAGGATGAGCGACACGTCGGTGGTGAGCGCCTGAACTCTGTGGAAGCCGGCGATGAGTCCGACCGGAAGGAAGCCGTCGGCGTCCATCTTCCTGCGCAGGAAAAAGTCCCGCTGCAGGTTTTCCAGGCTGAAGTAATATTCTCTGCAGGGACGAAACATTGATCTGCTCTCAGCTTCCTTCACACACATCTGGATCAGAATGAACCTGATCACAATAATCAGCCTTATGATCCATTTGGTCGGTTTGGATCTCCGTTTCGACTCCAGCTGGACCTGCAGGTCCAACGTTTCAGCTTTTCAAGACCTGATTCTCTGAGATCCACCAGCGATTTTACACAAAACCCGACTTCAGCTCCCATCACATGTAGGTTCTTTACAGTAACACCCATTGTAAAGACTGAAGAACATTTGATTACCCGTTTAGGTTAATAAAGTACTTTTGAATTGAACTGAATAAATATTAAAACTATAAATAAAATGGGAATTTAAAGAGGAGGAAATGTTACTGTCTTCAGTCAGAAGCTTCTTTAGATACGCTGCAACACCAACTGCTACCAGAGATCTTCCTGCATCGCCGTCTTCTGGTAATATTTTCATGCTTTATATTTTATTAATGATCTGGGATGAATAAACTAAAAAATATTAACAAATATTTTAGAGGTTTTGATGGGACAGTTGGTTTGTTTCAGGCCATCAATAATCAATAATGAAATTAATCAAATATTTTTACGGGACTGGATGCATTTTGCAGAGTTCCTTGACTTTTCACAGGGAAAATTTTACGTTTTTAAACTTTTCCAGCTTCACACTTTGGAGATTAAAAACAATAGAATATTAATTATTACTGTTAATAAAATGTATAATCTACAGCAGGAAGTAGCAAAAAAATTAAAATGCAATGAAATGTTTTGGTTTAAAAAGTATAGCATCATAAAAACACGAGATTATTATGACAGCAGATTTTCTAAACATTTTATGGAGCTAAAATGTTGTTTCTGCACTAAAATCCTCCCCTCCACAGCCATTAGTCATCATCAATCGGTGGTATTGATCGCTGAGTGCGTGCTTACATCTGCCTCTTGATGTAGTCCTTGAGCAGCTCCTGGTCGGCGGCGTACAGCTCGCTGCTGCTCAGGTTGTCGTAGTAATATGTGACCGAGCCGCCGAACTTCTGGCCGTACGGCGCGTCTTTGTATCCGTAGTGGTAGTCATGGTGACCTGCAGAGACGGGGGCGGAGCCTGAACAGGATGTGATGCAATCGCAGCGCAGAGCAGAAACTACTGCAGTAAATGGTAATACTTCTAATAATAATGAAATGATTGACACACAACCTGTAAAAGATGAAATAAACTTGAAAGAACATTTAACCCTGGAAATGGAAACATCTTAAAATAAATAATGAATAATTCACTCTCAGATCCAGGACTGTTTAACACACGACTCAATAAAACAAAGTTTTCCAACTTTATAAAGATATTTCTGCAACAATTGTTGCTGAAATGGAAATATTTGGGCTCATTTTAATTTTTCATTGTGATTACATGCGATGCTCTTTTTCTGCACTTTCTGGCTCATAAGTTTACATACGGCCATCAACCAAAAATCTGCTGCTGTGATGAAACATGAAATCTCCGACTGCAGTTTGGTAGATTAAAGTCCAACCTGGAGACATTCAGATACATTCAGGTTATTTAGATTACTGGTCCGACAGCAGGTCAAATCAAACTGCGGCAGATTTAACGGTCAGAAACGGGATTAAACATCTGAATGGTTGCAGCAGAGACTCAAACTGAAGTATAAAACCTGAATCATGTGATTTTTGTGCAACAGGTCGCCGTGTGTTTGTACCTCTGCCGCCGCCTCGGGCTCGGCCCCGCCCCCTTCCTCTGCCACGCCCGCGACCTCTGAACCCTCCGCGGAACGGTGCCCCCTCGCTCTTCACGCTGGAAACCTCGTCGTGGTCGTCGCGCCACTCCCGCTCGTACTTCTGACTGTGCCAATCTGCCGGACAAACGCGAACCAAGCGCATCAGTGGTGACCTTTGACCTCTCCTGGCCGTCAGAGCCGGCTGAGCGGAGGGACAGACCTCTGAGGTCGTTCCGGGCGTTGGGCGCCAGCCGCGGCTGCTCGTTCTGCCGGCTGTTGTTGCGGGACGCCGAGCGTTCCCGCGGTCCTTCGGGCTTCACGTCGATCATCAGAGGAAGCCACTTCTGCTTGTTTCCTGTTGGGGAAACGCGGAGTCCAATATCGATTAGTTAGCAATTAATATGACGACTGATCAATAAATAAATCACATCCCTGCAGAACTTTCATCCATTCAAACCTTTTTATACAATATTAAAAATAGGTCAATAATGAATATTATTTGTTTATTATTCTAAAATAAACATTTCATTGAACAACCTTTCAGTCCTTTAGTTTGACCTTTTGTAGCAAAACATCAATGCAGACGACAGATGATCAAGTTTTCAATTAACCACTTAGCAAAAGGCGACTCGTCAGATTTATTTTGCAGAATCTGAACCAGGTAAAGCTAAAACTACGGAGGAGTTCTGGATGGAGCAGATCTACAGAGAAAGGTTTCTAGTTGAGATAAAAGATGTTTAAACGGCTTCCGGTTATGGCGCTGAGGGGAAAGGCGTCAAAAAGTAACGGTAAATCAAAGCAAACTCAAGAAACAGACGAGAGAAGTTTTAAAAGCCTATCTGACGAAGGCGCTTCGGACCAGCACATGGAAGGGCTTCAGGCTAGCATGGGCGCTACCCGCAACGAGATCCCAGCTATCCGGGCTGACGTGAAGGAAGAGCTGAGCCTCTTTCGGGACGACTTCTCCGCAGACATGAAGAGAGAGTTAAGAAGCTTCCAAGAAGAGATTCATGGAAAACTAAACGGAATTGTGTCGGACATAACAGAGAACCAAGAAAGGTCGGAGGAGTCGTTAAAACGTGTGGCAGAAATGGAGGAGTGGACCGCGGCGGCGAAAGAAGTGCTGACTCAGCTATAAACAACCAAGACAGAATTCAAGCCAAGCTGACTGATTTAGAAGCTGGTCAGAATCAACATCTGTGGGATTCAGGAGGACAAAGAGGGAGACAACTTGTTGGAGTTGATGGCCGGTTTCATTAAGGCTGAGCTCTCCGTCCAGGATACCCATTTAGCTATATAACGCTGCCACCGGGCTCCGGGTCCCAAACCCCCGCAGAACGCCAACTGTGGTCATCTCCTTCCTGGCGTTCAGAACCAGGGATTTGGTGCTTCGCGCCGCGTGGAAGAAAAAAGAGATACGCCTCAACCAGCAGCGGGTTTATTTTGAGCAGGACTACCCGACAAGTGATTTAAGTAATTTACCAAATGAACTCAACACTCAGGATAAGAACCTTCTGAAAATATGACTGATAGCCGGAAAGAAATCACTAACAAGTAAATGGCTCAGTGGTAGTCCTCCGACGTTATGTGACTGGTCGGGCACAGTAGAAGAAATACGGCAGATGGAAACGCTCACCTTCTCCATGAGACTCCAGGAAAACAACATCCAAAAATATTGGTTAAAATGGTCAATATACTAGAACTCTAAAGTAACTTGAAAAACATTCCTTTATTTTTGGAGGTGGGATTTGTGGCTTGGTTCTGTGTGGTTTAGCAGGACTTGGTGATTCTGGATAAAAATTCCCACCTGTTTGTCTCTTCATGTAACTTTTCACTTACTGTGACCCGTTCATCAAGAGCTGTTCATTTCTTTTTATGCGACGTATCGTTGTCCCCCCCTCCCCCGGCTGACCTCCGTCCCCCCTCCCTCGGTGACCTCTGCCCCCTCCCCCTCCCGGCTGACCTCTGTCCGCCCCCCCCCCCCCCCCCCGGCTGACCTCCGTCCCCCCTCCCTCGGTGACCTCTGCCCCCCCCCCCCCGGCTGACCTCCGTCCCGAATGCCGTTCATTGTCCATGTTGCGATTTTTTTGTTGGTTTTTTTGTTATTTGTCTTCTTTAATGTTGATGTAATGTTTTGTCGTGTATAAAAATCTCATTAAAAATAAAGTATATATAAAAAAGATGTTTAAACAGTTTAAGCTGACTTCCTGCTCCAAGTGTTTTATCATCCTGTCGTCTTTTTGTCAGTCTTTAAACACTAATTAACTATTAAGTACAACATTTTTTGACAGTTTTTTCAATATTTGATTAATCATAATGAATACAATTAATTGCTTCAGTCTTAATCAAGAACTCATCATTTAAGCTTCAAGTTCAGGTTTACCACACTTTTCTGTCCAATATCCTAAACTCTGAAAAACTCTGAGAACGGGTTCTCCGAAGAGGAGAACCGGTTTCTGGATCAGATTTCAGGAAAACTCAACATCTGCTGAATGCTCCTGCAGTACCTCAGCTGGCCAGCGGGGCGCAGCAGAGAGCTGCTGGAAGTTAAATTAAAAAGATGAAAAGAGAAAATGTTTAAGTTCAAACTTCTCCTGTTTTGATCTGAAATATTTTTATTTGCAGAACGTCAGAATTACAGAAGTTTGGTAAAATTGCATTTAAATTTTTCTTGAATGTTTTTCAGTTTTCTCCCTCAACATTCTCAGTAGTTTTTGGCAGAACTGGTTTTCTATGGTTCTCAGAAAATGTCTGCTTTGTTCTCCTAATATTGTGATTAAAGATCAGAATCTGGGCCTAATAAATGGAAAATAAACAAACTGGTCAGACAGGATGGCGTTTCTTGCTGCGATGACATCACTCTGAACTATGGAAACCCAAAGAGTTCATTCCAGAAATCAGAAGTTAAAGAGCAAAAAATTCGATTAATCTGAAGAACTTTGTTTTTGTTCATCTGGAAGAACAAATGTAACTTCCCTGTTCATGTCGACATCGTGTTTGCTCCTCATCATTCTGTGGCAGCCCCACAGAATGATGCCGCCACCACCAAACTTCAGCGAGGCTTGTGTCTTTGGGTTTTAGCTTTTAATGGATTTTTCTTCTCCTAGAGCGAGAACTGATCCACTTTGTGAAGCCGCGAGCTCCAGCTAACATTTTGAAGCGTTTTTGAGTCGTGTATTTGAAGTCTTTCACCTTTTTTCTTTGGCCCGTTTTTCTGCTGGTCGTCGTCTCCGTTCTTCTCCTCTCCCGAGTCGTCAGATTTGGCCTTCAGGTTCTCCTTGCTCTCCTCGTTGCTCTCCCTCTTGTCCTTTGACTCCTTCTTAGCCGCCGACCTTTTGGGACCCTTAAAAACAAAAACCGTCAGCAGAATTAGTACTTGGTGTCAAACAGCTGGAATCTGGGATCCAAAGCTTAAAAGTGAAACGTGTTGAAAGCAGAGATGCCAAACGATGCAGCAGCTTCTCAAACTCCTCCAAGTCAAACTGAAGCTTAAGGTTAATAAGAGCAGAAACTCAAAGCTTGTTTCGCTCATTCACATGCAAATATCCAAACCAAGCAACGACTACAACAACGCAGATAAACCAGATGAAAAAGGATTTTCTAAAAACAATCAGCCGACATCCTGTGGAAAAAAACGTTTAAACTTTGGGATCAGAACGAAACTCCACCATAACCAACCAAAACGTTGCTTTTCATCATTTGGTTTCATCGTTTCTAAACGTCCAGCTTCCTGTCCATAGCAGCTCAAACGCCACGCCGAGCAGAGCAGCAGTAGGAAGGGATTTACCAATTTACTGGCATTTTCTGGAGATTATTTTAATAAACTGAACATTAAAAGACAGGATTTACAATCTGCAGCAACTCCAGGTAAAATCAGTCGGTGAAAAATAAACAGAAATATTTATTTTAAATAAGGAAATACGAGCTTCCTGTGCCACTTGGACCAAATATGGAGCTAAATGAGCTGAAAGTGAATTAAACGTTTCATCAAAGAAGGACAGAAGAGGATTTGCATGAGTTCAGAGCATTTGAGTACAGCAGAGCAAAACATGGCGACCGCTCCCTCTCGCACACACCAATGCATGAACGTTTATTCAAAACCAGCAGTCTCTGCCGAGCCGCACTCTCGACCCAGAACGCCTCGGATTCACGCGCCGCATTCAAGAACGAGTCGAGAACCGGAGGGAAAAACTCGCATCACAGCAAAACTTCAAACTCAACTTCTACTTTTAATCCAGTGAGGAAACATCATCACTGACCTTCTTTTTTGCGTACGGGTTAAGATTGTTGTGTCAATTTTGGCCTTTTGATTTAATTGTTTGACCTTTAATAATTTACATGATAACCTGAAATGAAGCTGAATCTGCCAAGAAAAGATTAAATATTCAACCTTTAGATGTGTTGACACTTTCTGAATCTGAAATGTTTAAACAAACAATTGTACCTGTTTTTAAAATATTTTTCATACTGATGAATATATGAGGGAACAAAGATATAAATAATCTTTGTTTTCAAATAAAATGATCTTTTCTTCTCTTCCTTAAAGAGCACATTTGTTTTACAGTGAAAAACTAAAAATATATTTGAATTTGAATCTTTTTTCAACAGCCTGCACAACAAGTCAACAACTAAACTCTTGTTTGATCCAGCAGCCATTGTACAGAGCATAAAAACCAGCTGACCAAACATGGAGAGCAGCTGGGGTTGCAGTGCAGTGCAGTTGCTTTTTTAAGCAGCCGTTTTTCCATAACCAACAATCATGAACTTACTGCCCAAAAACATCTGGATATTTTTGTTCTGCTGAGACTCAAATAGAACAAAAATGAGAAAAATGTGAATTTTTTGTAACAGATTTCCTCTAAAGCATCACAAACACTAAAGTCTGACCAGCTGGAAACGTTCAAATCTGGATTTTAAGCTTTCCAAAAGAAAAGGATTTCATCAAAACAACAGAATCAAACCAGTTTCTGCCACCTTCATTTCTCCTACTGAGGCACTAAAGGAAGCAGGTCTGTGAAAATCTAAAACTGGAGTCAAACTTTTTCAAGTGAATAATTTAAAACAGCCTGTATGTGAACCTTTGGCCTGAAACGGGTTTTATCTGCCGGGTTCTTTGGGTCGGTGCTCTGCCAACAGCAACGTTCCCTGAATCGATTTTTCTCTGTTAGTTCAACGTGTGTGTTAAGGGTTGCACAATCAAGGAAAGCAGCAGCTTCTTCTTCTGCCTGGAGGATTTTTCATTTCTGGCCTCATGGGGAGTTAAGAAGCTGAACTTACAGCGATTCTCCACGAGTCTCTGACCTGCCTGAGAGGCGGCGGGCCGGACGAGCTCTGTCCCACTGCCTCCATCTGAACACAGGGAGGGAAGAGCAGTTTAGACAGGATCCCTGCACACACACACACACACACACACACACACAACACACACACACACACACACACACACACACACACACACACACACACACACACACACACACACACACACACACACACACACACACACACACACACACACACACACACACACACACACACACACACACACACACACACAGAGCAAGCTGCGTGTCACTCTTAGCGCCGTGGGGCCTGGAGGTGTTACGGTTCCTCCAAAACGCCACGTCAGAGTCACACAAGCTGCAGCGTCTGCAGCAGCAGAGCAGCGTCTGCAGCAGCAGAGCAGCGTCTGCAGCAGCAGAGCAGCGTCTGCAGCAGCAGAGCAGCGTCTGCAGCAGCAGAGCAGCGTCTGCAGCAGCAGAGCAGCGTCTGCAGCAGCAGAGCAGCGTCTGCAGCAGCAGAGCAGCGTCTGCAGCAGCAGAGCAGCGTCTGCAGCAGCAGAGCAGCGTCTGCAGCAGCAGAGCAGCGTCTGCCGGCGTAACGGTTAAAATCCCCCAGATGAAACAACTAAACGCTTCCTAAACTTTCCACAAACTGAATCAGAACCGGTGGCTTCCACTCGGCTTTTCTGAATTTAACAGAAAAGAAAAGCCGACGGAGAGCAGCGCCTTGTTTGCTGAGTCACTGAAAGCAGAGCCTCGTTTTGCTGAGTCAGTCCTGTTGCTCCACAACGACGAGCAGAAATAAAAAAGACCTTCAGCAGGGCGCCGCCTCTTTATGTGACTCGGCAAGAAACTGACCACTGCTGCTCAGAGGTCAACGCAAGGTCATCAGTCAATAAATTAAAACAAAATCATTCATTTATATCGTTTATCGTTTCTCTTGTGCTGTGTAAAGACTTTATAATTCATTTCATTAGTCGTTTCCTTCCAGTTCCAACATTAAAAGTTCACTAGTATTTAAAATTCATTCATCTCTAAGAATCTGTTCTTGTATTACAAGATGATGGATCCTAATAATTTTATTGTTTATCATAACGTGGTTCTGTGACAAAGTTGATCATTTAAACACTTTATATTATTCTGTTTTTCCTTTTTTATTTCAACTAGTGTCAGAAATGCACCCTGAATAAATAGAAAGTTCAAACTGAATTTTGATCATGACTAATAAAATGTATTTTTCATGATGTACTTTATGTTTACAGTCAGACTCAGATTGTTTCCGTAAATCATTTCACTGCTAATTATTCACAGTTTGCTTATTTGTGGATTTTAATAGAGTTCATCTAAAATATTCAAAATTAAATTAATCTTTAGAAGCTGAAATGCTATTGGCCGGTGTTAGCAGATTATCCAATCCAGGAGCAGGATTCATTTTCCTTGCCACTGATTGGCTGGAGAAAAGCCTGGACGTTTGAAACAGTTTTCACACCGACGTTCATCTGAACTATTAAAGTAAATGTACATGGATTTTACTGAACACTTTCACTAAATTTATTAAACGTATTTTATGACCTGAAACCTTTCCATGAAGAAATGAATTGAAGGCAGCAGCAATAAAACTCCCAGAATTAATTATTCAAGATGTGGTTTTAGAATTTGTTGCTGAATTTTAATCTTGTAACTATTAAAAAGCCGATTAAACAAAGGAAAATAATTATGTGGGTTGAATGTGAAGATGAATGGTAGCAATTCGTTTAGACTGCTAGCATGCTTAGCTTTTGTGGCTCCGCTGGATGGGAGAGGTCAAAGGTCCAGGCAGAGGGACTCAGAATATTTACATTTTCTCTCCAGAGAAACAAATATTTTATTATGTTTTTACCTATAGAGGAACAATCTAGACCTATAGATGGAGAGTTAGCACAGCTTCAGTTCTTCCAGCTGTAAACCAGAGATCAGGCTGACCTCTGACCCTTGTGTTCCAAAGTGAGCCTTCTAGCAGCTGTAGAATATTTCCAGAACCAGAAGACTAAAGTCTCAGATCAGAGAAACTCATCCAGGCTTTGATTCCTGCAGCAGCGTCTTCACATAGATGAAGCTTTCAGCTTCTATGATCCGCAGATCTGGAGCAATCGTCCAGAAAACTGAAAAACAGCCGAAACGCTGAGTAAATCCAGACTTAATACCCAGCTGGCTGGAGCTGATTAACAATGAATTAAACATTGATCAACATGTTCATCTGATGTTTGTTGCTCCTTTTCATAACTAGTTGAAGCTGAAATATTCTCCAATAAATTTTACTTGTTTGAATAAAGAACTAAAAACAGATCTTGATTATTTTATTGAAACATCCTGAGAAAATGTTTAAATGTACAGAAAATGTCAGCCATGATCCCAGACCGGCAGGAACACCTCCGAGTGTTTCCCAGCGCGGCGGCGGCTCAGATTTACGGCAGTGAGCGTGACGGACGCCACGGCTCGCCACACCGAGTAGCAGCGGCTCAGACCGGCCGGTTCTCTACGGCGGCCCTAGAAGGACATCCTGCCTCCGACGGTCCGCTCTGCCACCGGACCTGGAGGATATTCCTGGGAACGACGACACGATGTGGCCTGGTAGCGCCGCCCAAAATAGAGCTGTTAACACGGCTACTCGCTGCGCCGCATGTTCACAAAGTAAATACAACTAGGAGAGGAATAAATGGCGAGGAGAATCCCAGCAGCTAACGTCTGTTAGCCAGGTAATCACACAAACCACAGGTAGGAAAATAAATTAAATAGAGATTCACGTTTTTGCAATGAGACAGTTTGAGTTTACAAAAGATTCAGTGGAGTGAAAATACATTTTGTCCAGAAAGTTACTAAAGTAAAAGCTACTCCCCTCAGTTAGTTTCATCTTATTTCAGGATATTTGCAGAAGAAACGGGACAGAAATAGTTGGTGGGATTGTGTGTTTTTGCAGGGAACGCTAAAGCAAGAAGCCAAGCAAGAGGCTTCACCCTCACCAGCTGCCTTTATTTACCAAACAATTAGACAATTTGTTAATGAAACACATGATTTATGTTTGAACTGCAGGGCTCTGACTGGCAGCAGGTCGAATCATAACATGAAAAATTATTTCTATACGGTTCACATTTGAACTTTTCTTTAAAATCTGTATCTGACCCGCTCACATCTCTGACTGCAGAACGAGCCGCGGACCAATCACAGGGGGCCGCCGGCTGCAAACAGATGCACAATTATACAACCCTACGCCTTTGAAAAGCAATAGTGGAGGCTCCTGAACAGCCAACCAGAATGCAGCAACAACTAAACTCTTCTGTTTTCCAGCAGCCATTGTACAGAGGAAAACCAGCCGACCAACCACTGGAGCATAGCTTGGGTTCCTAGGCGACGGGCTGTGGTTGCTCGGCAACAGCCCAGTTATGATGTCATATTCTGAAGGTTTTTGAAACGACTTTTTTCCAGACACCAAAAAGCATGAACTTATTGCTGAAAAGTCAGTTTTTTTAAGAGTTTGTTCTGTTTTGAAGCAGCTGTTATGTCAGATTTTGGTTTATTTCAACCAATCAATCAATCAATCAATCAATCAATTTTAGCTATAAATCAGAGGTCGGCCACCGCCGGCCAATCAGAGGGCCGCCGAGTCGAGTTTGTGTCAAGAAACCAGAAACTTCAACAACCACTAACCGTGGTACAGCTGAGTGTCAGCAGGGGGTCTATAGGCCCCGCCCACTCTCTAGCCCCGCCCCTTCGCCCCCAGTAAGCCTTACCTGCATGTCTTTAGTTGCGATCTCTCCCGGAGTCGGCCAGCTGTTGGTGTCGCCAAAATCTCCAACCTGAAACAAAAACAAGAGATATATTTTAAATATGACCAACTTTACAAATCTACAATAAAACACAAATAAAAACAACATAAAACATTTTAAAAGTGGATTTTGAGATTCATTTAGTTCTAATTTGAGAACGTAGAATATTAGAATAAAAATGCAATTTTACCAGAAAAATATCTAAATATTACAAAATGAAAATCATTTTCGTAAAATTACTCCTTCATTCTCCTAATATTTTAACTCTGGTGAAAACATAAAACATTGGTCTAATCCTACATTATATCCAACTTGTATTGTGTTCCATCAGAGCTGATCTGAATTCAAAGTCCAAGTAAACAGAGACTGTACAACAAAATGGCGGCTCTGGGTGTGATGACATCACTCGTAACTATGGAAACCCAAAGAGTTAATTGGTGGAAGAATTAAATGAATTGAAATTTATCAATTTCAATAATTTCAATTCTTAAAATGAATTGATGATAGCAGCCAGTGACTGAACAACGAATTCAACCTAAAGAATTATAATATTCTTGACTTTCTGTCCATCTCAGCTGATGACATCACCAAACAATATGGCCGACAAACGACTGACGGTCGTTTCTGACGTTAGAGTTGCTTCGGGGTAACAATGAAGGAAGGAAGTGACAGCATTCAGATATTTGAACAGGAAGTAGAGCAGCACATATCGTTTACTTCCTGGAACCGACTGGCTCTGGCTTCCTGAGGTTTCCAGGCCGTTTCCCGGCGGTCAGACTGTGGGCTGCAGGGTCAGAGGTCAGACAGCCAGACGAGCTGCAGCTCCATCCCTGAGTGGCTGAGTCTCAGCGGTTATTTTTCCTGTCTTAAGGGGAGCAGAGCTCTAAATGCTGAGGACGTTACCTTTCCTCCTCTCCTGGCTTTGGGTGGATTCCCCGCTCTCACCACTTTGGCCGGGCCGCTCGACTCTGCTGGGAAACAAAGAAAGATGGCCGACATTAAAACGGGGTTCACAGGATTTCTGCTTCCCAAAATACAATTCAAACACAAAAGGAAGAAAATATGAATCAGTCACCAAACACACATTTATTTAAAAACCTCACAGTTTTTCTTTTGTTAGAAGCTCAAAGGTGATTCAGTCTGCTTCCTGCAACAGGTTCGCATCGGCCTATTCAAAACATGTCCATAAGTTTTACACCAAATCATTCTCAAATCATCAGATTTCAGTCTGAGCTGTTTAGGGTCTCTGTCGCTTTAAATCCAAACAAGCTGCTGGCCACGCCCCCAACTCAACATTTACACTCACAGAAAAGATGCACAATTATACAACCGTACATCTTCGAAAAGCATTAGTGGAGCCTCCTGCACAGCCAACCAGAATGCAGCAACAACTACACTGTTTTCCAGCAGCCATTGTACCGAGGAAAACCAGCTGAACATCAAGTACAGCTTGGGTTGCTGGGCAACGGGCTGCAGTTGCTCGGCAACAGCCCAGTTGTGATGTTACACTCTGAAGGTTTTTGAAACGACTTTTTTCCAGACACCAAAAAACATGAACTTATTGCTGAAAAGTCAGTTTTTTGTTTGTTTGTTCTGTTTTGAAGCCTGTCTGTTATGTTAGACTTTGTTTTATTTCAATCAATCAATCAGTTTTAGCTATAAAGCATGTTGGAGGCATCTCACTGGAAACGCATAATAAAGGGTATTTCTGACTTGGTTTGAACCGTGCAGGGTCACAGTCTGCAGGTCAAACACCAGAGCTGTGAAGGGAAACTGCTGGGATTCTCCCTTTTGCTCCCATCTCTGTAAGACGCCTGGTGGATATTAAAAGTGATGTACCTTCATCTTTTCTTCACTTCCCTGGACTCGTCAGGGCAGCCATTGCTATTTTCTTTGCTTAATTTCTCAATAAAATAATAATCAAAATGCATTTTGATTCGTCTTGATTGACTCAGTGTTTTTCACCTTAGGTAAGACTTACTGATTTCCTTAACACAGCCGAGACAAATAAAAGTTTAAAAACATCCAAAATGTGAAATTTGAATGAATTTCACAAATCCGGTCATTACAGTGGTGAGTTGTTAACGACTGGGCGGGTTCTCCCAGATGAATGTTGTCTGTTTTGGTTCAAGCAGACAGAATCTGTCCTCATCCGGTTGAATCCGCCTCCAGACGGACCGAACTCGGAACGTTTCTGCCTCTGCTGCAGCAATGAACGTCTGCAGGCTAGTCACATTAGCTGCAACATTTGCTTGACCTTTGAACTCTAAAGGCTCAGCATAGAGAAATGGAGTAAAGGGGAATTACTCCATTTCTCCTGATAAGTATTTTCTCAATCTACATAAAAAGAGAACCACAGACAACGTTTGAGTTTTCAAGCAAGTCTTTTGCAAAAGGAGAAGGCACAGCAGACCTCCAGGTGTCCAGGTCTCCAGGTGTCTCCAGGTGACTCCAGGTGTCTCCAGGCGTTCTGACTCTCTGCATCAGAACTGGTCCTTTATTACAAAGCATGGCAGGAAAGGAATGTGGAGGGAGGCAGTTCAAGGAATATCCCAAGATAAGCGGCCGAGATGAGGATCAGTGCCTCCAAATCCGAGGCCGTGGTCTTGAGCCGGAAAAGGGTAGAGTGCTTCTCCTGCCCCAAGTGGAGCAGTTCAAGTATCTCTGGATCTTGTTCACGAATGAGGGAAGAAGGGAGCGGGAGATCGACAGGCGGATTGGCGCAGCGTCCGCCGTGAAGCGGCGCTGTACCGGTCCGTCGGGGTGAAGAGAGAGCTGAGTCAAAAAGAGAAGCTCTCGATTTACCGGTCGATCTACGTCCCTACCCTCATCTCTGGTCATGAGCTTTGGGGTCATGGCTGAAAGAACGAGATCGCGGATACGAGCGGCCGAAATGGGTTTTTTCCGTAGGGTGGCTGGGCTCCCTGAGAGAGAAGCGCAGTCATCCCACCGGGAGGGACTCAGAGTAGAGCTGCTGCTCCTCCACATGGAGAGGACCCAGCTGAGGCTCAAGCATCTGGTCAGGATGGAGGCTCCCTGTGAGGAGTTCAGGTCCCACCGGGAGGAGACCCAGGACACGTTGGAGGGACTACGTCTCTCGGCTGGCTTGGGAACGCCGTGGGATTCCCCCGGAGGAGCTGGAGGAAGTAGGGGGAGAGGGAAGTCTGGCCTCAGTTCTTAGGCTGCTACCCCTGCAACCCGACCCGGATAAGCAGCAGAAGATGGATGGATGGAAGAAGTGGCTGCAGCTTCAAGGTCTAACAAGTTCCTTTTCTCAGGGATGTGAATACCAAATCTATTAAAACTGCAAATGTAAGAATGATAACAAAACATAATTATTCTAACAACTCCTAATGTTGGAAACTTGCAGTCGCTTCATTTCGTTTTCTCAAACAGGGAAGGCAGACTTTCTAAATAATATAATATTCTCCTTTTGATGCCCTTTAATTTTTTTCAGGTAAAATGAAATAATGTGTAAGTTTAATTTTCAGGAGTTCACTAAGGAGTTGCTCTGTTGTTGCAACTAAATTAACTTAATAGAATTGGACCAAAAATTTTCACATTCTGCAGCTTCTCATTTAACCACGTAAGATTTTTCTTTTACACAAATTAAAAGTTCCCTTATTTTATTTACATTTTAGCAAATAGCCTTTTAACTTGCACACTCAAGTTAACAACTAATTGACAAGTAACCAGGGTGAATTAGTTGACAATGACCTTCATTATTGATTAACCTGAATAATCGTTTCAGCCCTACATCAAATGTTTTATGTCAGAGAAATAAAGTCATAATCCAGGCTGTGATGCAGATAGTTTCCAGTTACTAAAAACTCCAGCTGCATTAAAAAACTCTTCCTGCGACTGGAACTGAGAGGTAGCAACATTTTACAGTCCAACAGCCGTCGCAACAAATGGACAATCAGCTGTTGATGCAGGATCACCAGCAGGTTTGTGGAGCCACGTGGCAACATCAGCTGAGTCGTCCACCGTGGCATCGGCAAAACGGCTGCTCAGTGTTCGTCTTTATCCGATCAGATGACGAGCCAAAGATCAACGGAGAGGCCAGAAAGTCAGCAGCTCCAACCTCCACGCACCGGAAAACCTGCTGCAAACCTGCTGCAAACCTGCTGCAAACCTGCTGCCGACGCGCCAGAAAACCTGCTGGCTGCCGAATGTACAAAAGCTCTGATAAGTTTCTTTGAAAATAACCAATGACAACCAGGTGAGTATGTAAGAAACTTCGGACTGAGCAAAACAGAAAAACAGCAAAGAAATCATTTCTGTCATATTTACAGCAGCAGACTGTTGCGGAGATGTAACAAAATAAATTCAGACAGAGCGATCGATCCCAGTATTTCTCCATAAATATATAAATACATCAATTTTTAACCAAAATATTCAGTTGTGTTCTCAATCTAATGTTTTTATATTGCACCAATAAATGAATCCCATTTAAAGAATTGAAAAATTCAGACAATTTAGGGGTGAAGTAATCGATTAATGAAATAATGGTCAAATATTAATGTAATCAATGAATAACTGGAATGTTTAAACTCAAAAGACAATTTGTTAAAAGAACTTTGAGCAGCAATTAATCCAAAATGGTGTCAGAAATATAAATATTTTCCACTTGACATTCAAAAAAAAATTTTTTTTAAATGTTGCTCTAAAAATTCCTCAAAGATTTGGTTCAAATTCTGCAAAGAAAATCTCTAATTAGTTACCTTTTCTGTCACTATTAATCGCTAAATCAAATAATTAACCTGTCAGCCAGGTGGATTTTCTCATTTAAAAAAAGGGACTGAATTATTTGCATCTTTTAATGGATTTTTTTTGTTAGTTTTATTGCCTCTAGTGGCCTTTGTTTAACAGGAAAGACAGTAATGAGGGAGACGTGGCAAAGGCCCCGGGATTCGAACCTGCAACATCTGCCTCCATCTGTGGCTTGTGCTTAACCTCCACATCATTCCAAGTTTTCATGCATTTCCAATCTTCACAAAAATTGATCAACTGAAAAATCTGCAGAACGAGCCCATCTTATAATCTGACTACTCACATAATCCTTGGTAGCAGATCTAGAAATATAATAAACCGGCATTTCTTCTGCTTGAAAATAAATAAATGTGTGTGGTGATGTGATTTGTGAAGCTATTCTCACATACAGGATTTTTATGAAATTGCTGCTTTGAGTGTCTTCCTGCAGAAACTCAGTCCTGTGGAGCGAACCATCATCAGCATCTCCATTTTTATTCTCATCAGTTTTCAATCCTCTGAATTCAAGAAACATGAACCGTTTCCTCTGTAAAACTCTCCAGCTAATCCAGCAGAAGCTGCAGTTTAACTTTAGTTTCTGTCTTCCCTCACAAAACCTTCACACACACACACACACACACACACACACACACACACACACACACACACACACACACACACACACACCTCCTGTAAGTAGAAAGGAAATTCCCATGGTGCTTTAAAACGCTGCTCTATAAATAAACTCTGTGCCACGTCGGCTCTGCAGCCATAAACACTCTGGCTGTTAAAATCATTTATTTACTACAAATTTAACATGAAAAATGTAAATTTGACTTGGTTTAATTCTCTATTCTTGAAGTAAATGGAGTAAGTTTGTCTCCATTGTAAACTTTTGTCTCTGCTGCAGCTGGAAATAAATTTGCATCTTTCAAATAATAAAATAGATTTAATATTTATCATTTTCCACAAAAATCAAAACTGATGAGTGAATCAAACAATCTGCTGCTTAGACATCTGGCTAGATATTAATGCAAGAAATGCAATACCTGGATAAATCTGTAAAATAATATAACTATAAAATATGCAGTGAGTTGAATAGATTTCCCAAACCTGATGAATAATCTTCCAGAAATATAATAAAGTTTAAAATAGCTAGTTAGAAAATTAAAACTGACAGGCTGAAATTCTCATCCGTCTAGTGTAAATGCAAAAATACAGAGTTTATAATAGATTCATTAATTCATTCATTGCTGTGTTGTTGCTGGATGTGACATCATTTTCTGTTTTCTTCAGCTGACCGAAGACCGACTTTCAAACCGTCTCTATGTGTCTCTAACGGTCCAGATCCAAAACGCATAGATAACCTGAAATGTTACACTTAAAATAATTTTAGTTTTTGGAAATTCTTGGAAAATCTGTGTTTGTTCATAGTTCAGTGATGTCATCGCGCCAGAGGCAGCCATCTTGCTTATGTATTCGGTTCAAGTCTGATGGAAAATATGGCGTCAGGCTAAGATTATTTTTTAATAATGGGAATACCATCATAATATCAGGAAAATAAAGTAGCACAATAGAAATATAAAACTACAGGGAGGCTTGTACCGTTAAAGAGAACTTAATCTAACGCTGATGATGTTTAAAGCTCATTTCTGCCAGTAGCAGAACTGAGATGCATTTCATAGAAATATCCAGCTGATCTGGCACATCAGGCCTCAGAAATAACAGCAGTTTCTCATTGCAATCAACGGTCTTGTAATTTTAAGACATTTTCTGATAAAATTGTTTTTAAAGTAAAATTTGCAGCTTTTACCTCAGATGGGATGACTAAATAAATTCCACTTTCTCAAAATAAATGTTTTAAATGTTTTCATGGAAAAAGTGAGAGAGGAAAATAAATGGGCTCAGGTATGAAAAACTCGCCCAGCTCTGGAAACGGGGTCGTTTATTTTGACTGAACCGGGAATAAAGCGATTTCTGGTTTTCCAGTCTTTCGTCACGTGTGAAATGTTCATGTTGCACAAAGGATTGCTTGGAATGCAATAAGGAGCAAGCTGCTTGTCAGGAAAGGAAGCAGGACAAACATCTCCTTAGTTTCTCATCAAGCTTTAAATATTCAGTAAAATGACAGATTTATGTTTCACAGCTTTGAATAAAACAAAACATTTCCAGCTTTAGGTCAGTAAAACCTTTCAGGAAGGACAAACTTTAACTCCATGAACAAAACATCATCAGATCTGTTCAGACCGCCTGCAGCTGAACGTCACATGAGCAGAGCGATGACATCACCGCAGGGTGCCGGTAACCGACCCGGGGTCCGACCGACCCGGGCTGACAGCGGACACCGAGGCGAGACGCTGCACCGGCTGGGACCGGCTGGGACCGGATCCCAGAACGCAATCTGCAGGCAGAGAGGCAGCAGAAACCTTGAAAATAATAAAACCTACATAAAATTAAACTGGAGAGACAGGGGCCTTTAAAGAAAGAAAAATAAAACATTTCTTTAAAATGCTGGACAAACAGCTTAGCAAACCTAAAACTCAATAGTCAGACAAACCAAACGACCCGATATCGGTTTGCTCAGTTCTGATGCTGGACTGTCGGACTCCACCCAGCGCCGGCCGGGTCGCTCCGCTATCTGTGCACCCAGACTCAGCCCTGAGGCTGATAAACATAGGGAGAGCGGGCCGGCTGAGGGACGGTCAGTCGATGAGCGGAAGCTAACGGGTTTCATGCTAACATTTCATATTTACAGGAAATTTACAAATTCAGGCCAGAATTTTGTAATGACTGATGACCTCTGCCTCACGACTGCGAATGATCGTTTCTGCATCGAAACATTAGCCATTTATTGTACCGTTTATCATAAACATTTATCAAACTGTTCATTTCAATTTGAATTTATGTTAACACATTATTTTTACTATTAAAAGGCACAGATATTTTATTCAAAGCATAAATGTAAGACCCAATGAATGAATTAATTCTAAATATGTACAGTATCAGGAGTCATCATCACATCGTTTGTGACTTATCTTAAAAAATTATTATGACACACTTTGATGTTTTATCTAAACTTTAATTTTAAAGAAAAACTAAAACACATACCATAAATGTAATTTTTCACTATTTTCTCCACTGTTTGTTCCACAATAACAAAAAAATTAAAAATATCAGTAAAAATCTGAAAACTCAGCATTCACGCCACCTCAAACAGAAGTCGTGTTTGTCGGCCCCGCTTCACTCCTGCTGGTAAACTCAGCCCTGCAGACGCTGCACATGTTATCTTCCATGACATTTTTCACAGAGTGTGTGCATTCAGTTGGTGTTGCGTTATACAGCCATGTGGAAATGTTATGGCGCCTTATTTAAACATTTTTCCTTTTGATCCATTTTCTAACATGCATATAAATATTTAGATAAATTTAAAATAAACTGAAAGGGTGTGGATTTTTTTTTTAGTCAAGCAATACAACAAAGAGCTAGAAGAACCTTAAAATATACACATATTAATAAAATCAAAATTTATCAAAATTTTAAGGACATTTTTGGTGGATTCACACCAGCTCTGTTTAATCCGCTTTAATCCAATTTATTATTTTTAATCAAACTAAACTTTATTTCTTGTCTTATAATTTAACTATGAAGCAGTTTGTGCAGGCGAGGTTGCAGTAAATCTGCTATAAACTCATTTAAGATAAAATGATTTTGGTGATTACAGGAATGTTAATTAAAACGGGAGTTAATGCGAGTTCCCCTCTGCAGGTAGCGTCCCGTTTTGTTTCCTGGTCCAGACTGAGGCCTTACAACAGATTTACTGGTAGAAACTAAACCTCTGGGAAGCCGAGCGACCGTCTGCATTTCCACTGGAAACTCTGAAGCTCCTTGGTGCTGACGGCGAGACAGTGGGTCGATTCTGATCCTGGATGCGTGCTGCGGCCCCAAAGCTCCTAAAGCACTGATAAACACGTTCAGCAGCAGGGCAACCAAACCAGCAGTGGGTTCACACAAAGCCCGCAGACTGGATCAGAGCCAGGATCAGACAACCCTGCGAGGCAACAACCAGCTGCCTGCAATTGAAATTTATAATAATAGATAAAACCTTTGGAGTGGCCTAGTCAAAGTTCAGACCTTAATCCAATCGAGATGCTTCAGCAGGACATTTTACAGGCAGTTTTTAAATCAAAACTCTCAATATTGCTGAATTAAATCAATTTAAAACAGGAAAGTGAGCCTTAAATTCTCACCACAAAGACATGACGGCGTTTGTTGCCCCCAAAGCACAAAGGGGCAATTACTTGTCTCTTATTCCATAAGACCCATTTGGTTTGGATAAGAGCCTTCTGAATCCCCTTCCGAAACTGCTCTTTAGATTTACTGATTAAATTTATCCTGAGCCAAAACATCACACCAAAATTAGGGTCAATCTGCAGGAGTGAAAACGCTTCACATTTTTAAATCCAGTATTCTTCATTTTCATCCTATCAGCTGTTAGAACCTGCAGCGATGATTAGCTTTCAGAGCTACGTGCTAACAGCAGCTAGCTCGGGCTAGCTCGGGCGAACAGTCCTGCGGAAGCTTTCCTGGCTCTGACAGCAAACACAATACAGGACAACCGGCTCCCCGGTGGCCAGTCACCCGGGCCTGGACACCAAGCCGCCCTGGGCTGACATTTATCCGCAAAACCACCGCAGACAGGCTGCTAACCTAGCCAGCTAGCTTGCTACCCGCCATGCTTTTTCTCTCGGGGAACACGTGGAGAGAACACGTGACGTCTCATAACAAACCTGTTCCTTTTAGCGATTTAACGAGCAGACGCTTTCACGGTGGCCAAAGTTTCTCGATGGAGAATCCGAGTGGACGTGGGCAGTAACCACGGCAGAGCCGGGCTAACGGGACTGGCTCGGCAGACCGACTAGGCCCCAAAGGGAGTGTGCGCTATTGTTAGCCCCGGCTAAGCTGCTCACAGGCAGCCACAACCCGGCTTTTATTCCGCTGTTCGGATGCAGACACCGGCATCATGCTCGGCGTGGCTGGCCGCCCCGAACACAAACATGGAAACAAAAACTGCTTTAAAATGTTTGACAAGTCCACAGAATGCGTCTGATCACACTGCAAACATGGCGTGGAAGAAAGTTTGCAACCAGACTGCAGTGATGACACTGCAAAAAGGACAGCTAAAAATAAATGTTTTTTATAACTATGGATCAAAGTGAAGCCGCTTTTTCTAACGACACAAGACGACAAAAAGACAGTTTTAGAGCCAAACCACTAAATTACAGGTCTGAGATGTGAAGACGAGCGTAAATCTCGCAGAACTCAAACAGAACCCTCTGCTGACCGGACCGGACCGACTTTAAGTGTTTTTAAAGGGTGTGCCCAGTGGGCAGCGACCCAGGAATAGCCCGCACCACAGGAGGAGGCTGGCTCCAAATATAACCAGCCTGACAGCTCCCCGCTTTCTAAACGCTAGCGCAGCCGGAGCCGGGCGCCGGGCCGGAGCGGTACCTACCGGAGTGGGGCTGTCCGTTCACGCTGACCACGGTCACCGCGTTCATTTTCCTGGTCCACGGGTTCACCTTGGGCGGGGGAGCGTCCGTAAACTCCTTGCTGCCTTTAACCCCTTCCTCCCCCGGCCTGTCCTCGCTGTCACAGCCGTCCTCCTGGAGCTCCGCCGCCCGCTGCTCCTCACCGCCGGAGGTCCCTCCCATCTCGGCCCTGCTGTCGGCGGCACCTCGCTGCCGCTTGGCCCGCTGTTGCTCCTCCTCTTCCTCCTCCTCTGCCACTTCTACCGGCTCGCCGCGGGTCACTTTCCCGTGCTCCTCCGCCTTGGCGAGCGGGTTGCCGGGTGGGAGGGCCTCCACCTGAGTGGCCATTTCCCCTCCGCCGTCTTTCTGTCTCCCCTTCTCAGGACTTAACGGCCCCTTCCTTCCCCCTCCTCTCTCTCTGTACTCGCCCGAATCCGCCTTCAGGTTCGGGGAAGTGTGAAGTTGCTCCGCGGGGCCTGCCGCTCCTCTGTCGCTCCGAGAGCCAAGGCGCTTCGGCCCGGGATGCGGAGCGGTCTGCACCGAGAAAAAACACGGGGAAACCGTGAAGAAACGCGCCCGACGGCCCCTCAGGATTACAACCTTTTCAGCTCCACTAGCAGCAATATGGATGATCCCCACCACGCGACAGACGGGTGCGCGCACGTACAGTGTAGTTTAGGAGAGGAGGCGTACCCACGTAACGTCGGGAGCGCGTTCTGGGCTCAGGTCGGGATGGTGCATTCAGGTGCTGTCTGAAACAAAAACCTTTGGGAACCCACTTCCACCACTGTGATGAAATATAGCGGTTTCTCTTAAGAGGAAATAAAACAATAAAGTTATAATATTATTAGAATAAAGGCAAAATAATATGAGAATAAATTCATAATATTAAAACTTATTTTCAAAATATTATATTTATCATTAAAATCATAAATAACTGGTAGTTGTCTTTATATTGTTTTATATACAAAGCCCACATTTTATGACAAATATATATTTTTCACAGAAGCAATTGTTATTCTTAGGAGACAGATTTTTTTTCATTGTCGTTTTATATTTGATTTTAATGAGGATAAAACTGCAGTATTTTGAGAATAAGGTGAAAATATAACAATTAAAGTCATAATATTTTGCCTTTATTTTTGTAATATTGTACGACCTTATTCTTGTAATTTTACAATCACAAGAATGAATTACACTTTGTCATGTGGCCTAATTTCTCTGTCATATTTCAATTTAAAAAAACATTTTTGTAGATCCTATGATCCTTGAGGGATATTTTAAATGTACGTCTATGTAAACAATATTAATCATACATAAAACGATGTTAATAAATAATTCAATTCAATTGCAATAAACATTTCATTGCTGAAAAAGGAAACCTCAGCATTAGTAAATCTGAACAGGGTGAAGCTTATCCCACTTGAGGAGTTTTGGATAAAACATATTTAGAGACCAATGTGTTTTTATCTTAAATGCAAAATGCATATATATTTTGTGACCTGAATGAGCCCGTTTAGAGGGTCAAACTTTCACATTCTGGTTTTGAAATGTTCCGATGACCGTGAACGCATCGTGGATCCTTGTGTGACGTAGAACTCAGCCAGTTCAAACGTCAGCGTCAGTTCATGAGAACATGTGCTCAGAGCAGGCTGTTTGTCCAGCGTCATGCATTGTCAGTTAGCAGTTAGCTTCTGTATGTTAGCGCTGCTGTCTCTTTAAATATCAGGTGGGGAAACAAAAATGACCCCGATCCCTTAAACTTCACACGTGCCCATTCATGAGGTCCACGTGCCTCATCACGCGTGGAACCCCGAGTTTCAGAGAGCTTTCTGTGTTTTTCCCAGAGTGAGGTTTCCTGTTCGGAGGACAAGCAGCTGTTAGGTTTCCAGAGGTCAGAGGTCATCCCTGGTTAGGCAATTGGAAAGATCAAAGTTATTTTGTTTATTTTGAATTAAAGCCAACAGAAATGTCGAAATATCTCCAACGGGCTTCAGGACAAAATTGTGATGATGATTCAATACTTTGCTCAATGCTGGGATTATGAAATGAAACTTGGTGAAGACCCAGTGGTTACATTTGCACCGCAGGTTGGCTCAGCTCTTGCAAAAACACAGCGGCCAAGTTTGCACATGCAACAAATCTGCTTCTCCTGATCCCGTCTGGCTACTTTAAAGAGCTGCACTGCAAAAACACAAAACCCCAGCATGTAGTTTTTATCTAGTTTCTGCTGAAAATATCTCAGCACCTGAATTAGAAAAGTAACTTTTCAGCAAAATGTACAAGCTTAGTTTAAATCCAAAAATTATCAATGTTCATTTAAAAAGCACATTATGTTACTGATACGGACACATCTGCCAGTGAAGCAGTACTTCTAAATTAATAAAGGACTTATTGACTTAAAGCTAAAAAGTGATTATTTGTGTTTTATTTCGAGGGAGCCAAGACGTTTGCTCTAAAACCTGGTCAGACTTTGTGTTTTTCTGAGCCGTCTGTTCGCAGATCTGTGAAGGAGTTGGATGTTTAGCAAGAACAAAAACAAGTTTACCAGAAGTGTCTTCTTCATGCGTTATATATTTAAAACAAACATGTTTCTGCATATTTTAGAGAAATCTGCTGCCACTAGAGGTGAGAAACTGAACCTTTCATTACATTGAGCAAGCATGAGCTTTCTAAGATTAGAGTCATTATTATGCCTTTTACATCAAGAAGCATTGGAATGATGATAATAATGATGATAATAATAATAATGATAATAATAATAATAATGATAATAATAATAATAATAATAAGGTTTTCCCCTGCAGCAGCATTAACTCAGTTTTCTGAAAGTCTCTAATATTATTATTTGACTCACTGTTCTTTTCAACATTGTTCTTTTTAAACTATTCTTTTGCTGCACTTTATTCTCAAATTGTTTTCTATATTTTCATGTCTGTTTTTATTTCTCTCCTTTTTCTGTCCAGGTCTCACACCTGTTCACAAGGGAATAGGTGAAATATATTTTTGTATCATTGTTATTGTCTTCCACAATTAATGAACTTAAGTTTGACAAGCTTCATTCAGATTAATTATTTTTTAACGTTGGAGTTGCATTCTTGTTTTTCAGTGCACTAGGGAAAAATAATTTTATTTGTCCTTCAAACTGATTTTTGCTTTTTGAAATATGCTATACTTGCTTTAGTTGACTTGACTTGTTTTCATGTATAATAACAGAAAATTGACTGGAAGAAAAAAGTGTAGTACAAGACTTACCTATGATGCATGGCTCAGACTGTAGCATTAGACAGCGCAACATAGCATAACTTTGCATAGCATTACATGATGTAGCATAGCATAGTATAGCACAAAATAACATTAAATGTTTATTAAAATGTTTTTATCCATTTTTATGGATTATTTTATTATGTTGAGAAGCTGAATTTTGTTTGCTATTAGCTGTTAACCTTAGATGGGATCATCTAAGGTTACAGAAATAAAATATTTTAAATATCATACAGGGTGATATTTAATATAGAGAATGTCATATTCTAAAATAATATTTGTTTAGTTTTGGATGAAATTACTAAAATAAACTTGTGATATTTCAACTCATCTCCTTTTGGTCATGAAGTTACAGAAAACGTCTCCATGTTTGTGCTGAAGGATTCAGAGTGAAAGGAAGTTTAGCTGCAGCTTAAAAGTCTCTGAGTTCATGACTAAAGCCAGAAGTACGTGATCAGCCAGCACAGATCCGAAAAGCTTTTTCTCCCATGATGCATTGCAGCCAGAATGCATTACTGTTGTTCAGTCTGAGGACAGTTTCACATGAGAAACCTGTGAAAGAAAGAATCTGCAGAGTATAATTTAATTTCCTAGCATACACTGTAAAGTTGATCTGTTATGGAAAATTCACATTTTGAAGGTTTTTGTTCTTCCATTCGGGTCTCAGCTGCTTTTAAAAACACACAAATGTTTCTTTGTGTCTACAGGAAAAGAGCCGTTTCAAAAACCTTCGGATATTCAGCCACATTCAATGGGCACTGTTACCTAGCAACCTGAGCTGAGCCCAGTCCGTTACCTAGCAACCTGAGCTGAGCCCAGTCCGTTACCTAGCAACCAAAGAAAAGCCCAACATCTTCAGCTGCTGGAAAACACTAAAGCATCCAGAAACCACTTGCTGCATTCTGGTTGGTTGTGCAGGAGGCTCCACTAATACTTTTCAAAGATGTATGGTTGTAAAATTGTGCGTCTGTTTGCAGGAATTTTCTTTTCATTTTCCAGCAGCTTGACTGAAATCTCATTATCTAAGAGTAATTTAGTGTAAAAATGTGAAGAACAGATTTTGTTTAGACTGCAGACAGATACTAATCTGTTAAAAGAAGCAAAAAGAACTGAGTAAACATTTCCTATCTACAGGACCGCTGCAGTGATCACAAAGAAACTGCAGAGAAGTCATGACAGCAACAAACCTGATAAAGAGGTCAGAAAGTTTGTGCGATTTCAGCAGCTAGAGAACGACAGGAGAACGAGGCGAGGCAGACGAGACGGGACCGGCAGACGAGGCAGACGAGACGGACCGGCAGACGAGACAGACGAGACGGGACCGGCGTCCGGACTCCTGCTGCTGTTGCTCCTGAACTCGTGACTCTGCAGTTTACAGAAACTCTGGATCCTCTGCTGGACTGAGCCTGCAGACAAACACGGTTTGGTTTTCCATAGAGAGCGCAGATGGACCAACAAGTTCTGCTTCCATAAATTAACTGGAGCATTTAAGTATATTTATTTTTTACTGCAACATTCATAGATTTCTGCTTTTATTTTAATTATGTCAGTTTAGGGATTAACCAGATAGATTGACCAGTGATATGATATTGCACCATGTGGTTTGACCTGATAAGTACGGGTATTTGCAGAAAAGTACAAGTGGTCACTACGCTTCTTCCCTCTGTCCTGTGTCACCTCCGACCCCCCAGTGAGGAGTTGTACAGTCTGAAGGCGTGGGGGACAAAGGAGTTCTTGAATCTATTGGTCCGGCACTTGGGAAGCAGCAGTCTGTCACTGAACAGGCTCCTCTGGCTGCTGATGACGGCATGTAGAGGGTGGCTGCTATCGTCCATGATGTCCAGCAGTTTGTTCAGTGTCCTCGCCTCTGCCACCGTCACCAGAGAGTCCAGCTTCATGCCGACCACAGAGCCGGCACGCCTGATCAGTTTGTCCAGTCTGGACGTGTCCTTCTTGGATGTGCTGCCTCCCCAGCACACCACGGTGTAGAAGAGGACACTGGCGATCACTGACTGGTAGAACATCCACAGCAGTTTGCTGCAGATGTTGAAGGACCGCAGTCTCCTCAGGAAGTACATCCTGCTCTGCACCTTCCCGTACAGGTGGCTGGTGTGTTTTGACCAATCCAGTTTACTGTCCAGCCACAGCCCGAGGTACTTGTAGGAGCCCACGACCTCAACCTCCGTTCCCTCTAGTACGACTGGTCTCGGCTTTGGTCTGGACCTCCCAAAGTCTATAACCAGCTCCTTCGTCTTAGAGGTGTTGAGTTCCAGGTGGTTTGTGTGGCACCAGAGAGCAAAGTCCCTCACCAGACAGCGATATTCCTCCTCTCCGTCGTCCCTGATACATCCGACTATGGCTGTGTCATCAGCATACTTCTGTATGTGGCA